TATCAATTCAAAATTGAAATCCATAAGGTCAAAATGTAGAACCTCGCTTTAATGCTGTTTTCCCCTTCTATTTATAAGATTAATACATGTTAAAATTGATCATTACTACGCACGCAGGAGGCGGTAGGAACTAAGACTTGCTGACATTAAGTTTAATATATTTTAACCTCATCCCACATACGAAGTGTGCAACAATTTTAACAGGTTTAAAATCCAGGGCATTTTTTAACTATATAACTGGGGGAAGTCCCCAAGCCCCCATGGTGGCCCCCCACTCAACCATTCCCCCCCCCCAGTCAAAGTCCCTTTTCTCTAAAATATAAGCAAAACATGGAATTTAGAAGGGATGATGATGATGATGATGATGATGATGATGATGATGATGATGATGATGATGATAATAATACTTGATGGGAAATCAATGTTTGGAAAATACAGGCGAGGGGTTGCTGCATGCATGTAATTCTAGTTTAAAATTCATAACAGTGAGGAGGGGGAGTGAAGAGTGAGCTCGTTACATATTCAGTGGAGGCACATGAACTTGCGCATGATCATTAGCATTGAGGGTGCGCTTGGCGGCGCAGTGTGGAGGAGTTATGCGCAATGACGTCGATGGCATTGATTATGAGCGAGGTAAACTCAATCTAACGTCTTCAAACAATACCATGCAATCATGTTCGAAAGAGTCGATGTTCAACGATGTTGCACATAATTACTGATCACGGCCTTAATTAAAAGCGATGGAAAGGTTTTTTTTGTAACTATTTTAATATTTTCTTTCATTCGCGACGCAGTAGTAAATTGAAGGTCGAGTTCATAGAAACAAGTGTACCAGAGCATATTTTAAATAACAGCACTTGTCTATCGCAAAAAGGTCTGTTCGATATCAAGAGCGAAGTAGAATACATGAAGACAGACAATTGTGGAGAAGAGCAGACGAAAAGCAGGCAACCACAAAGAAACATGTGGAAATGTTTTTGAAATTTAATTTGCATCTTTTTCCTTCTTGATGATTGGATGTTGCTGCACCATAGTTGGAGCAACACTTTCATCTTTGCCTCAATAAACATTGGCGATATTGAACATTTATAGATTAATTAAATTCAAGCTGTTTTTCGGAGAAAATAGGCCGATGGCAACAAACTGACTGTTGGGGTCATCAAAAATGCCTGAAGTTGTACAAGTCTTCTTTTGGTAAATATAGACTTTTCTTTCAAAAGTTGTTCGGTTGAAAAAGCTCTACATACACATAAGCTGTCATTTATTTATAATTTATAACAGCTGAAATTTATTCATATTGAAGTGCATCCTACTGTGTATGCTTCATAAAACACAGCAATACAGCAGTGTTCACGATAAGTCGTGCACGACAGCGCTCACACTATACGCCGGAACGAAGCACGAAATTAAATGACGCCACGTTTTACGTCTGTGCACATTAAGCCGTTAGAGTTTCGGTACGGGTTCACAAAACGAGCGCAAATAGTGAAGAATTCGAAATAAAAAAAAATAAAAAGATATTCTAAAGCAAAAAAAGTAATAAAAATTACTAATAAAAGTGGAAGCCGCTAAGCGCTCTGGTTTTATCTCGCTCCATTTAGAGACCGTACTGAAATGCTACAATAACCGAGTGATGTTTTTCTAATCCTCGGTGTTAACGTTGTCCCCTCGCTTTGTGTGAATACATTACACTCTAAGTATTTTTCATAATAAAATATTTTTTTAAAAAAATGACTGAAACTGCAAACATGTGATAATACACCTTTTAAATTTTTGTTTTAAATTAGATATATACAGTATTAAAGCGAAACAAAAATCACACAACAAGACTTTGATTTTAGCATAGTCTACTTCGATGCAACAGTCTGTGGCAATGAGGCAATATTTACAAAGCAAGAAGAGATATTAATAAATTTGAAGAAAATGAGTATTCACATTCCCATGTATTGTTATCACAACTTTCTCTGCTATACTGGCTAACTAGGCAATAATATCTTTACAGCAATTACCATACTTCGCTAATGTTCGTATTGTAAGTAAAGGTGCGTACATATGAACAGCATGCTGGTATTTGCGCAGTCATTCAGTCATCTGCGCACTCATCTTCGAACGGCCACAGCCGTTACATCTCTTTTATTCTATTGAAATTTTCTTTTTATCTTTTATTTATTTTTTGTTTTATATGTTTGAAACGTTTTAATTACAATGCAAATGATTATTCTATACAGCGCCGTTGCGTCAATATAGCCTACACATAGTGGCAGCAAATATTGTTTCGTGTAATATCTAACATATAAACATGGCATTAACAGAGCCAGCTAAGATCTTGCAGATTGAAAGCATTTTACTATCTTCACTCCTTCACGGCGCAAAATTGAATTTCTCCAGAAAAATATTAAACAGTTGAATGTCGAGTTCATAGCGACAAGTGTACGCGACCATAAGTTAAATAACATAACTTGCCTATCGCCCGAAGAAGTGTTCGATGCCAATCGCGAAACCGAAAATGTAACTTCTGGAATGGAACACACGAAGAAACAAGCAACGGCCAAAGAACATGTGGATATATTTTTGAAATTGAACTTGCTTCTTTTGCTTTCTTTATCGCTTGCTATTGTTGGACTAACCATTACACTGCCTTTCGACTTGGCGATGACGAACATGTTATAGTTTAAGAAAATGAACACGAACAGGAGGGATAGATTAAACACGTTTGTGAGAACATTTTCAAATACTTCAGTCTGAAAATATAAGAATGTCGAGAGACCGACTTGTATAATCATCAAAATTGCCAGAAGAAATGTAAGTCTCGTTTTGGTGAGTGCGGTTTGATGGAAAAATGGATATTTTAAGGCAAAGAATCGTTCGACATTCAGCGTTAACAGCGCAAGCATAGACCAACCTACCAAGAGCCAACATAGGTACATCAGCATGCTTTTAACTTTTTCATAATAAATTTGCATGGACCACAAAATTGTTGATAAAATTAGGGCAGGATGATAGATGGCGACAGCAGCCAGATCACAACCAGATAAAATAAAAATAAGAAAGTAACATTGTTTCTTTCGAAGTTGTGACGACCTCCATAGACTGATTATAACCACAGCATTCAGAAATATTCCTGTAACCATGAAGGAAACATTCAGAACACACAGAAATAGCGCGTTTATTAAAGTGTTGGAATCCATTGTAAATCTTGCGTCGGTACGGACGTAATATCGACGATATCTTGCTTTTCTTTAGAACGTAGTCTGTCACAAATACATAGTAATAAATGCGAAAACATCTGCAATTATGTTTATTTGTTTATGTAAACCGTAATTTTGTCATATTGAAGTATACGTCTTCAGTGGGTGGGCGAGGGGGCGGAAAATTGATGAATTTTCGGAAATTTTGATCTAAAAGTGGGCTAAAAACAGTCATTTCGAGTGCAAATGGGGGGTATGTCGGAAATTTGAAAGTTTTGTCGGAAATCTAGGAGACTTTGCCCCCCCCCCACCGGAAAAAGTGAATTTCCGCCACTGTACGTCTTATGCAATTAAATTATGGCTATTGAAACAAAGCGTTGGAACCAAAGGCAGCAGAAGCATCTCGAAAGTGGGGTTGGCCGGTGGGGGAGGGGGGGGCACTGACAAAAAAGGCACTTTCCCATAGAATAATCACATTTATCCATATACATCTGCATGGGAAGTAGTTTGTATTTAGCTTAGGGTACTCCCTGGTTTATATCCATTGACTATTATACAAGATATAGGTATAGAATAAGGTGTGTAATGTATATTTATTATATTATAACACATCTCAAAATTTCGCAAAAACCTAATTCGACGTTCGTTTTACTGAATAAGATATACCTGAGATATATACATTGCATAAAAAAGCAACTCCAAAACAATATTTAGCTATACAAATGTCTATTGGGATCTTGTATTTTTAGATTCGCGCTTTCAAAAAGTGGTGGTTTGGTGTTTTCAAAAACGTGGGGGCACAGTGCCCCCAGTGCTCCCCCTCGGTTGTGCGGTCTTTGATTGGAACTAGCATAGATCAACGCTTTACTCCTTTACGTCAAGTATATTCACGCATAAATCGTGCATAGTATTATACGCTTCACTATTACGCAATCGGTTATTTAGTACTTTAAAGCAAGCACTAAATCTAGCAGAATTTCAGAACAAGTTTCGCCGCCCCTACCAACCCCCCACCCCCCATAGCGACATCCCTGAAGACTACTACCGTTAAACATGTTGCTTTTGAGCTATATTGGCACGAGTATTTTTGTATTTTTTGTATTTATTAAAATTCAATACATATAATTCCATATATTTACAAATATCAAATTAGATGTATTAGGGCATACCATAAACAGAATTCAAGATTCCCTCAAGAATGGTTTCCCAATTACAAACAGAACATTAAACTAACATCACAGGACACATAATACAAATAATTCCTAAATTATATAATTTTACAATTTCTAAATTAAAAGTCTAAATTATATATTTTTTTTTTATATATTTTCTAATTTTCTGAATATCTGATTAAGGATTGAAAGCAGAAGGGAAAAGTTTAAAATAATATAGAGTAAGTTGTTTCTTAAAGTACGACAGATGCTGAATAGAACGCAATGTGTAAGGAAGTAAGTTCCATAAGCGTGTAACACGAACGAAATATGAGTGCTTAAAAACACCTGTGCGTGCAAAAGGCACTGTAAGTGTCATGTCGTCACTGTTGCGCAAAGAGCGACCCGTATTTTTCCAAGAAAGGAAACCTCCTGGTATATCAACTAACTCATGTATAATTTTAAAGAGAAAAACAAGATCAGTGATTTCTCTCCGCATATACAAAGGTAGAAGATGAAGTTTTTCTAGTCTAGATTTATAATCAACTTCATGACCTAGGATCAGACGAGAAGCTCTACGTTGCACCTTTTCAATTTTATTAATATTCCGTTTCTTATAAGGAGACCATACTGGGCTAGCATATTCAAGAGTTGGCCTCACCCAAGTAAAATAAAGCAGACGCTTCACACTGTTATCATCAATATCCTTAAAGGTTCGATATAATAGACCTAACATTTTCTGGGCTTTAGCAACTATATTATCTGTGTGAATATTCCAATTCAAAGTATCAGAAATCCACACACCTAAATCTTTTTCGCTTTGAACAACCGACAAATGCGAGGAGCCTAAAGTATACTGCCTATCGTATATTGTACGTGTTCTAACAACCCTCAACACCTTACATTTTTCAACATTAAACTCCATGCCCCACTTAATTGACCAATCATACAGAGCATTAAGATCCTCCTGTAATCTATCCTGATCGCTGGCATTGAAGATAACTCGAAAGCATTTCGAGTCATCAGCAAATAAGGGTAAATAGGATCCTTGAGAGTGATGAAGATTTAGAAGAGGTTGCAGAGGTTTCAAGTATTCTTGAAGATACCAACGACTATTTAGAGCCCCAATTCCATGCAGAGTGTGAAAGGGTATTTCCTCAAGCAAAGGAGGTTCTTCCAAATGAAGCTTTACTTGCATTTCGCTTTCTCAAGCAGAATTTTGATAGAACAGTAATTGATCATGAATAAATATTCACTGAATAACTCTGAACAGCCAGATATGAACATGTTTTATTCAATAAAATAATAGACAGTATGCTTTATTGTTACTACTTTTGTTAAATTCAGATTACTAATAAAACCCATTAATTAAGGGTAATGCTGTACTGTTTGCATTTTATTACATGATGAGCTATTGTTTCCAATATTTTACAAAGTAGGGATGCACCAAATATCATATTCATGCACTGGATATCTGGCCCGTTAAGGTTCTGGCCTTCTTTTCAGGTTAAAAATGATGTAATATAGTTCAAGAAGTATGCATATTTATTATGTTTTTACTTGAATGAGTGTAGACAAGCCGGCAATTGCAATATTATCTGATTTTTCATGCTCACTTGCAACTGGACTGCTCACAAGACTTTTCCAACCATGCATATGAATCGATGTTGGATTGTGAAGTTTTTTCTCATCATTTCAAGTCAATATATTCTAAACAGTTAACACCATCACTAATAATTATAACCAATACAAATAACTATCGAAATTAACCTTGAATGATTTGGCCTGAACCTATAACAATATTATCCAGCAAGATAATCTGGCCAGACAGCTTTCAACTATCTGGCATATCCATGCACAGTATCTGGCCAGATAGTATAGTAGAAATGCTCTATCCGGTAATCTCCTATTATAAAGCATTTTTAATTTTAAATATTTGAAGTTCTGAGAATGTCTTCAGACTTTGCTTCTTAATAACACAAATATACACAATTATATGTGCAACATACTAAACTAACAGTCATGTACCTCACATGTTTTCACATTATTGTACATCTTCATGGCTTGTCCAAAGATAATAGTTCACAGTACTTGTTGCATTTGTGTTGTACAAAAAATGTTTCTATTGCATTGGTTGAAAGATTTCCAGCACAGAAATAGATGCCATCACTTTCATCATATAACTCGCTACTTGCTATTTCTGGGTCACAAAGCACAAATCCTACGCCTTGCAGATCCACAATTATAAGCTGCTTTCCTGATTTGACAAAAGAGTAATGGACAAACGATTCTGCCTTCATAGCAATTTCACTGCCATCTTTTAGAACAATGTCGCCAGTGTTATTCACATATTTTCTGAAACTTCCTTCAATGTAGGACTCTACTGTAACAAACTCACCCTTCATCTCTGCATAGTACAGCTTGGTATAGAGGAATGTATCACCGAATTGAAGAGGAGCACCATCACGCAACAATAATAAAAAGTGCCTAGCAAGAGCATGCATCTGTACCACTTTTTTAGTGTGCATATCAAGGGACTGAAAATGCTCTACAAGCTCTGCAACCCGATCAGACCTATAATGTTTGACCACAAACTTTCCATCCAATCCCTTGAGACCAGTAGCTAAAAATGCATCACGGCAGGCACCACTTGCTAACTTATCAACGCTAATTGACAACACTACTTCCACTGGATCTTTCCAGCTTCTTCTCTCAACATCAAATGCTTCTAACTGTAAAGTGACAATGTCCTTTTTCGGTGGGATAAACTTCCCGATCTTAATGAGTTGACTGAGAGGGACAGACTGAGGGAATACAGACCGAGACGACGGTGCAATATTGGAGCAACTAGGCACGTTGACATATGATATTGGTAGTGACAGGTTATGTGCTTGAGTGTGGTCTTCCTTTTCTTTAGAACTTCTGCTCTTTCTCAGCTCGGGTTCTTTTTCCACAAACCGGATGTGAATAAGTTTCCAGTTCTTAATCTGATTCACATTTGTATAAGATGGTCCTCTCTCCCCCGCAAGAACGTCACATTGATATCCTTTATCAATCTCGAAATGGTCTTTGCATGCGTGTTTGATATTTTCCATTGTCTTATCTTCATGTGGAAACGGTACCATTGTCAATGGGCCAATTCTTGTATATTTTTGTGCCTTTCCTTCGACAGAGGCAGATAGTCGCTGTACTGTCAAATACTCAGTCTCGTCTTTTTCTTCCTTTTTTCCCATCCTTTTGCGGGACATTTTATTCTTAAACACATCCCACTGCTTCCGCTTTGACATTTTCGTTGGTTTAGATAATAGATATAGAATTATTTGAAAGTTTATAGAACTGAAATACTATTAAAGTATTTATATTTCTTGCACGAGTTGAAGACTGAAGTGTAACCATAGTTACTTGGTGACCGCGATCTGTCTGGTTTGCGGATGCATTAAGTGGAGTTACGTCCCCCCCGGAATGGCACGCCTGGGCCACGTATTATTTTCAATTCATTTTATTTTTTTTTTAAAAACAATTAAACTGAATTAAATTAATACTAAATTAAAACTATATAATAAATAATAAAATAAATAAAAATAAAAAAAATAAACTAAAAGAATAATAAAAATAAACTAAATTAAAACTATATTGAAATTAGAAATGAATTGAAATTAAATTGAAATTAAAATTGAAATCAAGTTAAAATTGGATTTCATAAACAAAAAAGTATGTGGCACACCTGGGCCACCATAGTTGTGTTCAAATTAATGTTCAGTTACGATTGAGTCTATAGTCATCATGCTGCTTAATTGCTATACTGGAATAATATTTACTTCGACCTTTAAGTTATTAGGCAGATAATATTTAGCCATGTTAGGGGTTGTGCCCAATTTACATTGTTTGGAATGAACATCAAAAGATCTTTTGAATATAATTTGCATGTGTGTATGTTTATAACAAAGCTCTTTAAAATAGGTAGACATCTTCTTTAAATTTATGACTTGGGAGTGGATTGCAAAAACTAATTTTCAATGATTTTCGAACTTGTCTTTTTCTCATAGCCAATATGATTTTGCTAAGTGCAACTTTGGATGGTTCACGGTCTCTGTACTACCTAATATTTGACTGTCTATATATTCGTCAACATATGTGAAGTTATGAGGCTCATTTGTCCTCTTACAAGGCCCATTTGTCCCCTTACGAGGCTCATTTATCCTCTTACGAGGCTCGTTTATCCTCTTACGAGGCTCATTTATCCTCTCATGATGCTTACGGACAGATTCAGCAAAAGAACTTGAATTGACAATACTTACCGTTGCCACCATATTCTATATACAGCCAAGAAAAGATATTAATTAGCAATTTTACATGGCAGGTCACATATTTTAATAGCACATTTGTATTCCAAAAATCTCTTTGACTCAATAGATCAATTAAATGCTATCTTCTATAGCAATTCTTTACAGTCAACTTGGCTTACTGATATATTTAGAATATTATAAAGTTACAAACTTGATGGTGAATAGTCCCCAGATTATCACCGAGCCTGAGGCGAATAATAGTTAATTATTTTGTATTTATAGTATCCCACCTACATAATCTGACACTTACTGTAAATAAAGTTTATGTATCTATATATGTATGTACAGTATATGTATGGGAGGAAACATGGCACATTGTTATTGACCCAGTTGATTTGCATTTTAAAATTGAAAAGTTCGACAAACATCCAAATATTTACCGATTTCTTGTGATCAACAAGATGTTTTCTTTGTTTACTTTAGCTAAAAAAGAATCCCAGAATACTCTCTATTTCACAAAGTACCAAGAAACAAATAAATCGTCTGATAAATATGGCCAGAAATCACTGGCACAGAATAGTAGGTAAGGCCTGTGAGCAGGCATCTAAGATGTTTCCACTTAGCTTTCTGTCCCCATTTCCCTGTCCTATTTAAATTTTGCCAGGTAGGAGGCTAGTTTCCACTATGATAATTCTAATTTTCAGACTACCACATATCAAGCCTATTAAACATTATCAAACACATATTTTTTAACCGTTTTGTCAACAAAACATTTTCCAGAACTTGTCGACAGGGGAGGTGGGTGGTGTCACTTCACTTTTTTCATTGATCACGGTCTGTGATTGATGTTACCTGAAATTACCACTGATCTGAAATTTTGGGGTGTTCACTTGCCAGTAGCTACATCCCTGGAATGTAGGATTTTTTCTTTCACCAAAGGTCCTAAAGGCTTGCATCAATGATTCTTTTGGATCTGCCACCCACCCTCGCAGGATATCTAATCAGTAGTGCCGTGGCTGGGGGGCAGAGGGGGCCATGCCCCCTATTTTTGAGATCCGTTGGGAAATTTGTTATGTTGTCGTGTTGAATCTTCGCGTGGTCAAGCATACCTGCATATACGAGTGGCAATTTTACTTCTCTTTGTTGTTTGACAATGCAAAACATGTTTGAATAAAAAATATATAGATGAAATATCAGACTAAGTTTACATTTCCCAATATACTAAGTATTTACGTCAGAAAAAATTGTGTTTGTTGGAAAAATGCTGCCCTCCCCCCCCCTAAAACATGGGACCCACAATGCCCCTGTATCTAATGGTTCATCATGATTATATTTAGCAGTTGCAACAACAACAATCTAAATATAGCAGTGAATTATGGTTCCAATGTGAAAATAACATTTCCCATGGGACATTTTGATTGGCTGCTAGAGACAACTGAGTCACAGACTGAGCTGTAGAATAACCCTGACAAGTGGTAGCTCTGCCTCTGTTGTCATCAGTTGTTGCTTCATATATACATCAGCAAGGAAGAAGAAAGATTATTGTTCCAGGTTATTATTGTTGAAAAGTAATTAAATATTGGTAACTACAGTAAGATATAGACTTTAAATTGCGAAGTGTCTCTTTATTTATATAAACTTTTAAATTAAAAGACTGCATATAAATGCAGCAAATATGCAATGCTTATATATGTTATTATTTTATAACATGTTTTTTATGTTGTGGATATTAAATGGATGGCCCAATGTTGACATAAAGAAACGTATAAGAATAAAACAATATGCATTACGCCCTAAATTGTACAGTGTCTATTAGCTAAGTTGCTAACGTCAAACATCAAATACTTGATCAAACACAAATCATAAATTATCTCATAAATATTCAAGTGAAGTATTTTATAGACCATCTGTCGTGATGTGCAGTACTGTATTTTGTTTTACACTGTTAGTGTGATGCCTGGTATTAATTTTGCTTGACAAGGGAAGATTTATGCATGCCCTAGCCACCAGGCCTTGCTGGATCTATGGCCCACTTGCTTATCTCTTTAATTGCTCATTTCTAACAGGGGTTGTGCCTGATCAATTTAAATTAGCTAGAGTGATACTAATCTATAAGAAAGGTTCTAAGTCGGTTGTATCAAATTATCGACCTATTTCATTACTCTCAGTTTTTAACAAAATTTTAGAAAAATTAATGTATAAGAGACTTGTAATGTTTCTAGAAAAGAACCAAGTAATTTTTCAAGGCCAATTTGGTTTCCGTTCAAACCACTCTACAACACATGCCATCTTACTTATTGCAGATAAAATTCAAAAAGCAGTAGAAAACAAAATGTACTCATGTGGTATCTTTCTTGATTTGAGTAAAGCTTTCGATACTGTAAATCATACAATATTACTCAAAAAACTTGAAAACAGTGGAATACGAGGAATAGTACAAAAATGGTTTTTATCTTATCTTTCGAACAGAAAGCAGTATGTCTCGATTGGGAATGTAATATCTGAACAAAAGCCTATAACTTGTGGAGTTCCACAAGGTTCAGTTTTAGGCCCTTTATTATTTTTGTTATATATCAATGATTTTAACAATTCTGCTCCAAAACTTAAGTTTCATTTATTTGCAGATGATTCAAACGTATTTTATTCTGATAATAATCTTCAAAATTTAGAAAGAATAGTAAATGAGCAATTAATTTTGGTTGGCAAGTGGTTATGTGCTAATAAACTCTCAATAAATATTGAAAAATCAAACTTTGTCCTTTTTCATTCACCACAAAAGAAAGTTAATTACTCAATGAATTTGAAAATTCATGACAACAAAATGAAGGAGAAGAAAAGTGTCAAATATCTTGGCGTAATTATAGATTGTAACTTGAACTGGAAGGATCATGTCTTTGAGTTATGCAAAAAAATATCCAAAGGTATTGGCATATTATTTAAACTTCGTGATTTTGTTTCAATTGATATACTCATTCAAGTTTATTACTCAGTAATCTACCCATTTCTTACGTACGCTGTCCTGGTATGGGGACATACATACAAAAGTAACTTGCACCCATTATTGATCCTGCAAAAGAAGGCTATGAGGATAATGACATTTTCCGGTTTCCGTGAGCACACTTCGCCAATATTTAAGGCATTAAACTTGCTAAAAATTCTGGATCTAGTTTATGTCAATACAGCATCATTCATGTTTCAGTATGGTTCGGGTAATCTCCCGGCTGATTTTTGTGGCTTTTTTACCTTGATTAAAAATAACCATGACTATACAACCCGTTTAGCGTTTACAAATGCATATGCTATCCCACCAGTTCGCACAAATTACGGAATATTTAATATTAGATTTTGTGGACCTAAAGTTTGGAGCTCTGTCATGAATCTTTGAAGTCTCTGTGTCTAAAAACCTTTAAAAGAAAACTTAAAGAACATATAATTGCTTCTTATTCATTCAAAAATTTAAAATGATGAATATATTTTGGCTCTTTTTTCTATATATTTTTTTCTATTCGTTTGCTATTTGTTGGTGTTTTGTTTCTTGTTTCTTGTTTGCTTTCCTATAAAATATTGCATAAAATTGACCAAACCCATTCACTTAGATTTTTTGTCTAATAAAGGTCACCTGACTCGTCTAGCCCTTATGGTTATTTCAGGTGGCCTGTACTCATCAATTGTAATTATCTGAGTATACTAGTGTGTTGTTACTGTAATGTTCGAGTACAAATAAATGTATTGTTGTTGTTGTTGTTGTTGTTGTTGTTGTTGTTGTTGTCTACAATGCCCTTTTTTAAATGTAAAATATTGTATTAGGTGCTATTATGCAAGGCTATATGTTATAGAAGCATATGGGTTTATTCTGTTTATTTTGTATTTCTCTTTATTACTATAGTTTGTTCATTAAAGGCCATTAAATTAGTAACAAATTATGGCTTCAGACGAAGGCAAAAAAATTCCACTGCTTGAAGGTACAATGGAAGAACTTGATGAAGGCATACTAAGTAAACTTTTTGATGATGAGAGTACTGATGAATTGCTACTTGAAACTCTAACAGTTGCTGCAGGTAATGTAGTTTTCGATATTAAGAGAATGATCATGAAATGGTAAATGAATGTGTTCAACCACCCTCTAAAAACCTGTTCAAATTTCCTCTGGGTAAAATTTAAAGTTTTCAAACCTTCCTCAAAATAAATTGAATAAATACTAAGATATGGCTTCATCAAATAGCAATATACTAGAGTATATAAACTTAACTGATTCTGAAAGCATAAAGTTTGAAAGAGACATGTTGTTAAATGCAGTACATCATTTTAATATATAATTTATATATTAGGGAGCGATTGCAGAATACCCGTCCATTTTTTAAGCTATGCCTTTCCAAAATCATGGATACGATGTTTTAATCCGCTGACCAGTCACATTAAGTTTTATCTTGAGAACGAGACATATAGATCAAATTCTCATGCTCTATAGATGGCTCTATATTCTAGAGAATACGCGGATACGCAGTCAACGAGTTATCTTGAGAACGAGAAATACAGTTACAGTTTAGCATTAATATAGATCAAATTCTCATGCTACGTAGATGGCTCTGTAATCTAGTGGATACGCAGTCGACGAGTTATCTTGAGAACGAAACATACAGTTACAATTTAGCATTAATATAGATCAAATTCTCATGCTATATAGATGGCTCTATTTTTTAGTGGATGCGCAGATACTTGGATCACAAACATATTCATATTAAAGTTATTTTATGTGCTCTTTTATTAATTCATTAACAATGATTCCCACCTTGTGTATCAATAGCTACAATATTAAAAGTATTTAGTAATTATGCACATGCATGAATGGTTTAAATGTTCCACCAAACAAAGAACAATGCATGCAATTAAATATTGAGGAAATGTTAATATATATATATATATATACAGACGTGAGGCATTTTGGATAAGCAAACTAAAGACAATGCATCCTTCGGGATTGAACATAGAGAATGCGTAACAATGTTAATTATAGTTAACAAGATATTGTTATTTGTATGGTAAATCACTTATATTCATATTATGCATAATTAGCAAAATTGGGAGGGTATAAATTGGGTTCTCCTGTAAAGTAGGATTATATTTGATGAATACAATAAAGTCGAAACGTAATGTGTTGAGTTGATTAACTTATATACCTTTATATATATATATATATATATAAGATGAAAATGTTCTAGAGTGTATATTATATAATTTCCATATCCAGCGCAAACAGAAAGATGTTGTCTGCCGCAGCTGGGTCTTACCCGCGACCTTCGAATTACTAGCAACTGAGCTACACGGTCAGACGGATTTAAGACTGGAAATTATGAAATATATACTGAATGTCATAAACATACTCGTTTATATTAATTCAGCATCGAACAATACTAGTTCTGCAAGTGTTATGTTAAGTTGTGTAATTGTACACTCCGTAATATGTTAAGATGAAAATGTTCTAGAGTGTGTATTATATCATTTCCATAACCAGCGCAAGCAGAAAGATGTTGTCTGCCGCGGCTGGAACCTGTGAACTTCAAATTACTAGATCGACGCTCTACCAACTGAGCTAAACGGTCGAACGATAGAGCGTCGATCTAGTAATTCGAAGGTCGTGGGTTCAAGACCCAGCCGCGGCAGACAACATCTTTCTGCTTGCGCTGGGTATGGAAATTATATAATACACACTCTAGAACATTTTCATCTTAGCATATTACGGAGTGTACAATTACACAACTTAACATACATATACATGTACATATACATATACATATACATATACATATATAAAATAAGTGCAACGACTCAACAAATTCCACTAGGCATCTTTATTACTATTAGTTTCGTACCACAAGATGTGGCACTCATCAGATAAATTAGCCTTAAGACTACAGCAAAAAACCTACAGTATTTATGTACAAGTGGATGAAAGCTTTAAATTAATCCTATTTACAAAGCATGCAAAGCAATTATTTTGTTACTTAATAAAATTGACAGGACGCGGAAGTATTAACAACGCATCAGCATAACGCCAAGCTATTAAGATTGCGCGGTATATTTAAAACAAAAATATGTCTGTCTCGAGTGCATGCCCTTTAAATGTTAGCTAAAAGAAATTTTTTCGCATGTCTGCATGAAGACACTAATTCATTACGTTTGTTCAAAGTAGCCAGTTCAGGTTTACATATAATAAAGTATTTTTCCCACAGGCAGAGATTACATCTATTAGAAGCAGGGCTGTAGGGTTTGGCCCGTTTCAAGGTTTGCCAATTAATTTGAAATTCAGTTCCTTTGCGCTTTAACTGCCAGACATATTTACTAAGTTCAGTGGAGTTCCTTTTCTCGTACAAAGTAAATGAGGTTTTGTGGTTGTAATATCTAGTTTTAAAAGCGTTTTCAGTCAGACCAACGTATGTTTGAGGTGGACTATTGTCATTGGTAGAAACTGTAGCTTGATATACAATGGATTCGACCAAACACTTTTTGGACATTGGGCACTCCTCTTTCTTTCTACAGTTACATGTGCTTTCTTCGCTCGTTGTAGCGGTTTGTGACAGTTTGGTCTTGTTGTGTCCGTCGATGGTTTGTTTGATATTAGGCATGCAACTGTAGCTTATTTTAACAGTGTTGTGGTTGAATATTTTGGGTAGGGGGTGGCCTATCGGGAATTCATCATCGATGATATTCAAAAATGTTTGTCCAATATTTGTTGACACATTTTTACTAAATGGTGGATTGTACCAAATGATATTACGTCTTCGATTTCGGGTTCGAGGGGTTGTATGATTAAGTGGGTGCTTGTACTTTAACTGGTGTTCATAACCACTATTCTGAAGTGCTTGCTGGTATTGTTGCGAGGCTTGTTGAAATGATTCCTCATCGGATGATATTTCAGTTGGGCGTTTGTTGATAGATAGTGGGATATTGCGAAGGATATTAGGTGGGTGATTAGATTTCTTGTGCACGTAAAGGGGTATATTATTAGGTTTGGCGTATGGTTGATATTTCCCGGTTGACAAATTAAGGGTAACATCAAGAAAATTGACTATTTTCTTGTTAGCTTCAATTGTGATTTTAAGTCTGTATTTGTTGAAAATGGAACACAAATCTTTTTTGATATTTTTTATCTCACACGCTGTCGCTTTAATGACTCCTAACCCGTCATCTCTATATAATCCGAAGTTGTTTCCATGCTTTGTTGTGATAAGATGTAGTAAATATGAACCCACTAGTTCACATGATTCTGCACTGTCGAAGCTGCCCATTGTAACATCAAAGAGACTAGATGATGTCCGTTTACCCCAATAGTTTCCCGAACTGTGTAAACATGATGTTTTGGCGTGCATAATAATTTCTCGTTCCTCGTCCGTAATATTGTCGTAATTTGATGCGAAATCTAAAGCAGTGTCGAGAAGTTCAATCGAAATAGATGGATAAAAGTCAACTACGTCAAATGCGATAAATAAATGCTGATCTTTGTCGGCGATGTTATTAAACCACGTCAGGACAGATTTCGTATTTTTCCATTGATTCATGCCGGTAGACTCGATAACGTTCGCGTTGATTCTATCTAGAATTTGTTTACTTACTTTACCGATTTCGGACTTGCGAGGGTTGATAAGACGGCAGGTAGGGTTATTTTCAAAATTAGGTTTGTGGTCCTTTAATGTGATAAAGGTTTCTCTCTCAGCTGTGGTATTAATTCGTTCAGTTAAATTTAATTTGTTCGCAATTGATTTCGATCGGTTTTCAATGGATGAAACAGTTTGTGTGGAGATTTTCTTGTAGGTTTTAGTGATGTTTTTCTGCAGTAGTTTGTTGTAGGACGGAGAGTCCATCTTGTAAAAGTTGGTGGTTTTATCAGCAGGCACACATTTAAACAATAGTAGCTCAATTTTAGGTGTTTAATTGTAAGTTGCATTTTTAAATCAACTTTTTTTCAAATAAATTCACCTGCACACAAGTAACCCCGAAATGTATTTACCTTTAAAACGGTTAATAATTATGACATTCTCAATGTTTTTTTTTAAACTTGTCACATAACAAAGTTTATGTCAGTTATATCAAGTTTGATGTCAGATTTTATTGCGTTTCTGATTGGACCGTTTAAGCTTAGTTGCAAACGACGGTAATCATTACAAGGTTTAGTTGCTACAGCAATGATGGTTCATTTAATTTATAACTATTAATTATTCTCTAAGAACATTGGAATCATGTACTCAAATAATCTTTGAATAATATAATAATGTTCAAGGTGAATTTCTTATTGTAACCATGATGAATAGCTCTTAGTAATAGCCTCCTGTTATTTGTGGTGCAATGGTTTAAGGTGCCTATGATGCTTGGCACTTATACATTTTAATTTTACAGAATATTTTCAGCTATTGTGTTCTCAGTATTCTCCAATGTCATAGTCATATGTTATAGGTACTAAATCACAATAGTACCACCACAACTTTTCAGCCTCACCTTTATGTTTTGAGAAGAGATCTAAATGCCTTGAAGCCATGAATGCTGATAGTGAATAGGCTGGTTAACTAAAACCCAAACTTCAATTATACACTGTAAATAGGGTCCTTGTCTATAAATAAAGTATTATACATTATATATTATATCAATCATATTAGTAGTATTACCCCCCCCCCCCATATGAATTTTATGGGATCATGACTTTATGGGATCATGACTTGTCTTTTTGGCAGGAGGACTGGAATGACGTCATGTACGTACGTGTGACGTCATGTACGTACGTGTGTAAAGGGTATAAAGGAATGAAATGTCTTTTTTCTTGTTTGTAGTGCAAATATGAACTGTTTACATGGAAAGCCTGCGGTGTATTCGACAACGAGCAATGGAACATTCTGGTTTTGTGGTCAGAACCCTAAATGTAATTTTATTTGTGCGGAGAATGAGTGTTATATGTATGAGAAGGCCATAATGGCATGGAGGTGTACAGAGCAGCCGCATCCACGATGTCGTGATCATGATAAGCTTGCGAAAATGTGTGTGGTAAAGGACCTAATGAAGGAGAATTACGGGAGACCATTCTTTGTGTGTGGAGAAAAAGGGAAGCAGTGTTCCTTCTGGATGTATGGAGATGTGTATCCGATTGCGAAGCCAGAGTGTCATCATGGATTACTGTGTGTGGTGCAAAAGGTGAAGAAGGATGGTATGAATAAGGGCCGATTGTTTTTCTGTTGTTCGAATGATGGGAAGAATAGATGTCGGTTTTTCAAGTGGGCATCTGATCAACAAATGGGATGCTTTCAGACTGTGAACTTTAATAAAGAACCACTAGAAAACAAGGGTTGCAAAAAGAACGGTTATTTGGCAACCAAATTTATTAACAAGTTTGCAGACAAACTAAAATTGTAAGGGATTATTTTATATGAATAAAAGTTTTATTAACAAGTTTGCACACGAATTGTAAAGGATAGGGTTATTTTATATGAATAAAGGTTTGTGTGTTGAATTGTTTTCGAGTGAATTTTATGGGGATGCATGACGTCATGGAATATTGTACGTACGCAGGATTTGCGTATGTATGCGAAATTTGCGTACGTATGCGTTTGAAATGCGTACGTACGCATTGTGTGCACATACATAAATGGTAAGGCAGTGTTTTTTTTTTGTAAAAAAGGGTTTGCAATGGATGTAATTTTAAGTAAACTTAGAAAGGAGGGTGTTGATATTGATATGAGAACATTCGAATATTATATTAACGATTTGAGGGAGCATCATGGTTCCATGTATATCGATTTGGATATGGCGACATTAACATATTACATTGATGGTTTGAAGGAACGTCACAGGTCCCTTTATAATCAGATGGCCGGGAGGGTGAAGCCTACGGAAATAAGGGTTGTTTTTGGTATTATGGATGTGACCAATTTTGATAGAGCAATGGCTTATTTGGCACTGGTGCATACAATGAATATTCCTGAGGAAACGAGGTGTGCGGCTGTTCGTTTGGCTGCGGAGCCTTTGAGGAATTGTGATTTGAGTTTGTACCAAATAGTGAAGGAAGGATGGTTTTGTAGACTGTTTAGACGAGTGTTTGGGTGTTAAGGTAATGAATAGTAACTAGTGGGGTTGTTAATGATGGTTGATATAAATGTGTTGTTTTATTGTTTAGGAACGGTTTCTAGGAGATGCAAGTTTACAGAGGACGAACCTGAAATTCAGGAATGAAGGTTTCAAACGGCAACAGAGAACTGTTAGTAAAGAAATAGTTTATAGTGAAAGGAACTTTTTTTATAGTTAAGGGAATGCTGTTTATGTAAAAAAGGGTTATGTTGTTTGTAAAGAAGTTTTAATTGTAAATTTAAAAAATTTACTGAAATGTTTGTTGTGGATTAAATTATTTTGTAGGCATGTATTTTGGTAATTTTATTATAAAGTTTGGGGATGGGTGTCATAGGGTTTATTGTGTATTCTGCACGGGGGTGTAATGGATGTGAGATTCAGGACCCCTGCAAATTTTTTCATTTGTGGTCAAACACAGAGTGGAAAGTCCTATTTGACGCAGCGTATATTGCAGAATGCGGAGGAATTGTTTGAACCTGTGCCGACAAAAATAATATACTGCTATGGGGAATATCAGAAGGAATTTGAGGAATTATCACCTTGTATTGAAATGATAGAGGGTTTTCCCGGTGACATAGGCAGTTTAACAAGAGGTTCAAGTTCAAGTTCAATTTATTCACACTATTTGGCATATATATTACATTAGAAGAGATATTCATGTTGTATATTCAGTATAAATACATTAAAAAGTTTTAAATTATGATGTTAAAATTGTGCACGGTGACCAATGTAGCATAAGCTTTCGAGTTGACCACCGTCTACTTTTGATTTATTAGGTAAATTTTTTAGCTAATTGCATATATCTCATTATTTACTATTTGGATTTTACAGTCAATAAATTGAACTCTTGGTCAAAAGAAGAGAAAGAAAAGTAGCAAAGAAAGTTAGCATAATACACTAAATTAAAGCCGCTATTTTATTAACTTAATCATTAATTAAGTAGTTAGTTCACTTGTTTAACCAATCCATTGAGGTATAAAATAAATCAAGTAATACATTCCCAATTTAACTAAGGGTTATTAATTTGGTTTGACAGTAAATCTACTTTTTACTGTCTTTTAAAATTACTGGTTGTTGGTAATTTTTTTAAGGAAACTGTAATGCTCTCCCATAACACTGACGCACAGTACTTAAAAGTAAATTTTCCAAAATTTGTTCTTATTTTTGGCCAATAGAAGTTGCATCTTGCTGCATGCCTTGTATTGTAACTATGAATATTTTTCACAGGCATTAAAAAAGTTATGAAATAGTGAGGGAACACTTAAGGGTTGACAAACAATTTATGTGTTAGTATAGCAGTTTTTAATTTGACAATATTTTCGAATTTTAATATTTCAAGTAATTGATAAAAAGGTGATGCAGATTGTATATTTTTTACAAAAAAGATACTACAAACACAATTATTTTGTTTCACAGTTAGTTTTTTTAAATTACTTGAGTAATTACTACCCCAACTCATAGATCCATAGCTTAAGTATGGATAAATGAGGGTATAATACAATTGTTTCAACATGTGAACATTTAAATAATTACGTAACTTATAAAATATACCTAAATTTTTAGATATTTTGCTATTTACGTGGGTTATTTGGCTTTTCCAAGTCAAGTGCTCATCCATATATATACCTCGGTATTTAATGCACTTTTTTTGCTCAATATTTAATATTTTTATGTTTGAAGGAAGTAATTTTGGGGGGGAACAAATTAACATAAAATTAGTCTTTTACAAATTAGTCTTAGACAATTTATTAGCATTACAATATTTCAAAGTGTTTTGGAATTCCTCATTCACAACTGTTTCGATTTCTTGAAGGTTCTTACTAGCATAGAATATATTAGCATCATCAGCAAATAAGCGAAAAGAAAGCTTTGCTGATGAATTAGGTAAATCATTAATATATAAAAGAAATAATAGTGGCCCTAAAGTGGATCCCTGAGGAATTCCGCATACAACAATTAGAGGCTCAGATTCTATATTTCCAATTTTGACATACTGTAGCCTATTTTGAAGATAGCTTTTAAACCAATCCAATACTACACCACAAACTCCATATTTGTTAAATTTATTTAGTAATATACTATGGTTAACTGTATCAAATGCCTTAGAGAAATCTAAAAAGAGGCCACGTGTAATAAGTTTATTATCAATTGAGGTTCTGAGATTATCACTCATCTCTAAAATGGCCAACTCTGTAGAATATCCTTTCCTGAAGCCAAACTGACATGGAAATAAAATTTCATGCTTTTCAATAAATGAAGTCAGTTGATCCAATATAATCTTTTCAAGTTTTTACTGAAAGGTGACAATAATGCGATAGGCCTATAATTTGTTGGGTATGTTGTTAAGCCATTCTTATACACAGGTGTTACCCTAGAGACCTTTAATATGTTGGGGACAACGCCTTGCATAATCGATAGATTATAAATATAGGAGAAGGGTTTCGATAGTTCTGAGCTAGCATATTTTATTAATTTATTTGGAATATCTAACGAAGCTTTCCTTGTGTCCAGATTAGAAAAAAGATATGCTATGTAGTTTTCATCAATTGGTGAGAAAAAGAAACTATCAGTTGGGCTATTACTTATATACTTAAGTGGGTCACTATCATCGTCTGTACTGTCAATCATGCTAGCTAAATTTGGACCTACATTTATAAAATGATGTTTAAACTGCTCAGCAACATCGTTTGGCTTTGTGTAAAGTTTATTATTTATCATCAGTCTAGTTGGAGAATTAGGTTGACCTTTGTTTTCCTTTTAATTAAAGTGCCAATAAGCTTCCATGTTTCTTTAAGGTTACTTTGGTACAGTTGAAAATGTTGATTATAATAATCATTTTTTTATTTAGTTTTTAACTGGTTAAGTAGATTGGAATACTGTTTATACTTCTGCACTTTTTCTGGATCTTTACTGAAAAAGTTTGATTTATATAATTTTTGTTTGACTTTTATCGAAGTAAGTAAGCCTTTAGAGATCCAAGGTTTGGTAAGTTGTTTCATTTTAGACAAAGACGCTTTTTTATAGGCGCGTGTTTATTAATAACCTCTTTAATTGATTGTATGCAATCAGATGTTAAATCGTGGAGGTCATTTGCGCCATTGTAGATGGTTTCCCAATCGATTGCCTGCATGTCAGCCAGATACAACTCTTTATTGAATGAACTATAGTCTCTAAAATAAATCTTCTGTTTCGTTTGGAAAACTGATGCATTACAAATACAAAAAACAGGCAAATGATCAGATAAATCAACCAAAGCAATACCTGAAACAGTGTCATGAATGTGATCGATCGAAGTGGCAGTGTGGTTAGTTATTCTTGTTGGCTTGGTTATCAAAGGAACTAAATTATTGGAATACAGCATATCTAAGTATTCCTCAGTTTTAGGGTGATCATTGTATTTTAAAAAGTCAATATTTATATCCCCTATTATGTAAATGTGTTGATTCTTTTTACTAATGTTCTTAATTATATCCTCTAATTCTAGAGTAAAGTCCGATAAATTGGCAGTTGGATGCTTATAAATACAGCCAACAATAATATTAGGCTTGTTTTTACCACAAATAATCTCACACCAGCAAGACTCAACAAGTGGCATTTAAAATTTTATATCAGGCCTACATAAAGCTTGCAGGTTATTCGATACATAGAGGCCTGCGCCACCAGCAGCAGTCTCTGAATCAGTATGGAAAAATTGATATCGTGGAATGTCAATATTAATTACGGTTTTGCTATTTAGTTTTGTTTTGGACACTGCGAGAATATCAGGCTTTACATCTAGAGAGCAGATAAAGTCTTCTAATAGACATACATTTTTTGGCAAACTTCTAATATTACAATGAAATAAGGAAATACTTTTACTACGATTAGTAAGAGTATTTAACAATGTATTAAGTGGCAGTCTCCCTAACAGCGGTCCGTCAGACTTCTCGTCAGAAAATCAATTTCTCTGAATCTTGGCACATCAAAAGGGTTTGGTATAGAACTAATAAAAATGGAATACTTTTTTGCAAATCTCTTTTTTTCGCTTTCCTAGAAGCTCGAACTTACTTGTGCCGGGCCGGCTCATTTGGTCATCCCTTTCAAGGCCGAAATTTTGCAATATTTAGGACTGCACCGTATCAAAACTAAATGCGCTGGCAAAACGTTTTATTCGGCATTTGTTTTATTTATCTTTACTTATAAAAACATACAAATGTCAAATTCATTGATTGCTTAGTTGATAAGATGCCAGCCTTGAAAGCCACCCCTCTGTGCAGGTTGCGGAAGTGCACTAAATTGTACCAACGTTCGGAAGCAAAATTCGCGTTTGTTTGACCAATATTGAAATGAAAAATTACATCCACATGCAGATGATAACTTTATCTCCAAGGTTCTAAAGTCAAACCTTCGGGTATGCCGCTGTGTGCGAAGGGGCTAGAAGGTCAATTTGGTCAAATTTGCGCTTTGTTTACATAATATTAAAATAACACTTCGTAATCCGCACTGAAATTGATCAATTGCTTGCCTAAGAACTGCCCCCGGCTCAAATTATTCCCAGAATTATTCCTTAATTTCACCAAAACAAAGATACATGAATGATCTACACAAGTTTATATGAAAAATTAAATATACAAAACCAAATTTTAGCTAGCTATACTATAGAGCTGTTCTGCAGAGGAAACCCCACACAGTCATAAGCACACCGCTAGAAAGGAAGAGCAAAATGAATTATACTTTTTGATCTCTTCCATGTTGGTTGAATAAACTTTGAATATTTAGTATATATACCAAAACAATTCATGGGAAATGGGATCCCATATTCTCTTGCATAGAACCACGGGGTAAAATTGTTTTGCGTATTAAAGCCGCCATTATTAAAAAAAAAATACCTAAAAAATATCCAAAAGACCTAAATTCTGAAATGTAAAAACTATCGGCTATATGCAGTTAACTAACTTCATCTCAGGCATGTTAATGCCTGGGTCTGCCCACGCTTGGATGATATCTTGCGCGCGTGTTGCACGCGCGATCTGTCAGTAATGCGTCTGTTAGAATATTCGCCCCTTGTGTGAGTATTTTAGTGAATTCGGGCGTTTGCTTCAAATCAAAATATAGTATATATGAGCAACAGGATTATTTTGGAATATACAATGCAAAGAAGTCTGTATACTATTCAGTTTTGATGTAATAATTGGCTCTTTGTATAGCAATAAGTATTGTATCATTTGCGACAGCTGACCTTTGAACTGCTGATAAATAAAAGCTTCTTATAGTGCACTATCTTGCGATTATTCAGTAATTGTTGACTGTTTCTTATTTTCAATGAAAAATAGCTTGTGAATTACAAATTAATAGCACATATAGTTCACTCGGTCTTTTCCACCATGGCATACTTCCCTTCAAGAATTAACTATGCTTCAAGATATCGGCTTGAATGCGCAATGAATGTTGTTATTGGAAATATAATATCCCTTACAATAAGCGGCAGACTGTTTCATTATGGCGCGTGAAATTCATCACGCGAAAAACGTGTTCGACTTGCAGCAGGGTAATTTGACGAAATTTTGCTATGTTTGTTAGCTATAACATTAACAAGCGAACAAAGTTTCCTGCTTTAATTTGGAAACCGTACATTTATTTGTAGATAACATTTAATGACGCGATTAACATTCGTTTGATGCCGATCATCGTAATATAGCCGCATAAAATAATGAAACGAAGCCTAAATGTAAACTTTCCAAATTTATTCAATAAACAGTGATATTATGGGTGAATGATTATCACAATTCTGCGTCCTCTCAGTCACGAAATATACTGCTGCAGAGCCTCTGAATAAAAAGTATAATTTTTTGAGTTGTTTTTCGAAATATACATCACATGATCGTTGCCATGACAACGAAAAGTAGGTCAACTTTTAGAATCTCCTTTGATAAATCATATAAAACTTGAATGGTAATTATCAAGGCCATACTTATTTTTTTATGATTTTTTGTTTATTTTCGCTAAATACACAAACTGTAACCCAGGCATTAATGTACCTGAGATCAAGCAAACAGTAACAGCCAGAAGTAACTTCTAGTCAGTGTTATAGGACTTGTAACACGAAATCGTTGAGGTTTTAAAGGGAAGCGTTGCGTGACTGATGCTAGAAACAGTTGCTGGGAGGCTAGTCAGCCGAATCTGGATGCAGTGTTGTGCAGGATGCAGTGTTGCCATTCTCGAGCCCAGAGCTTCCCCGCTCCTCAGTCCCCGCGGGGAGCTTCTGGTAACAGCCAGTTTAAGGCCTTCGTTGATTGATGATACGGCGCTCATACCTAACATAAAATATACTTTAATTAATTAATTAAGATTTGTTTGTTAGTTGTCATTTTGAATTTTTCTTTTACGCATGTGTCAGGGGGGGGGGCTCTGGGTTCGAGAATAGAGTATTACCTTCACTAGGAGGGGGGACAACGTAGTTCATTGGAGGAGCCAAAACAGGGGCTGGGGGAGTCCCCACAAGTTTATGTTATTAAAGGGGGCCCTGTATTTGGGAGAGAACTTCACATACTTCTTCCTCACTATTGTTCTCCTCCAGTCTCGCCAGCTCTTCCTGAAGCAACTCCTCGTTGAGTCATAGCTTACTCAGTGAGTCAGTGGTGTAATCTTACTTTTTGGACCGCTCGCACTCCGGGCAAGTTGGACATGAAAATTAGTTGCCCTTAATAAAATTCACTTGCCGGCCCAGGTAGGGGGCATAAATTTAGGGGGAGAACATGTCGACTTGTTCTCCCACTGCTCTACATGGCTATTTTATACTGCCACAGATTTAACCAGGGGCGTAGGAACCAGGGGGGGCAAGGAGGCCAGTGGGAGCAGGCCCGCAAGTTTTCCAAAGTGCCCTTTTTCCGGTACCAAAGTGCCCTTTTCTTGTGTGAAAAATGTGATTAAGATTACATTTTTTTGCCCAGAGGGCACTTTTGAAAATTTGAATTTATGTTATTTCCGGAAATTGTTTTAATTTCCTGGAAAATATTATATATCCGGAAATTTTTTTTTCATATCTAAGAAAAAATGTGGTATGTCCAGAAAATTTCTTGAGATGACCTCCCCCCACCCCCACCCTCCTCCATCGCCAACATTTCTGGGGAAAAATTTTTAGATACCTTTTTTATTCGAAAAGTGCCCCTCAAAGTGTGCCCCCCAACTTTTGGAAGCTTCCTACGCCCCTGGATTTAACTTTGGCATACTAAAAACAAAATTTGAAATCAATTACATGTACTATAAAAAAAATCCGACAATGAAAACACAAACTTAAAGATGCCCAGCTTTTTGTGGCAAGGCAACTTGCCCAATCGGGCAAGCAAGATAAAACATTGACTTGCCCCGGGCAAGTGTCAAGTTACACCTCTGCTTACTCGTTCTCTACCATTTAATTAAGTGTGTGTCATTTATCTAGCTAATTTGAATATGAATATGCTCTAACAGCAATATCAAGCCAAATTTTGGTGAAAAAATCAGGATTAGGCCAGAGAAAAACAACTCGTGTTGTTATTGTTTTAGATCAAAGACGGCTACGCCGATGCATTTACAGATGTGCTGCAATCAAATAAACTGATAAACACAACATAGCATTTGAGCCAGTGTGAATGGTGGGCAAATAAACAAGCCTAGTTTTGATATGTTTAAGACCACGGGTGTGGCTTTTATTCATATATTACACAAAACAAACCATTTTACAATCAAGTACAAAATTCATAATCATATTGACAAAACCGTAATTGCACTGATGAAAAACTTTGGTGGGGCTAGTTACGCCCCAGACTGTGGCTAGCCCTCAGTATGTTTACTCAGTTTTATGCATCAGAGAAGTCCCATTATCTTCTGGAGTTGCAACACATTTCGCATTACCCGTAGTTACTAAATAAGATAAATTGTTTCACTGCTACTTATGACTGTGCGGGGTTTCCTCTGCAGAACAGCTCAGCACAACCCTATACCCAGCTAAAATTTAGTTTAGTAGCAATATGCTAAATCTATTTTCATATAAATTTGAGTAGATTGTTAATGTGTCTTTGTTTAGGTGAATTTAAGGAACAATCCTGGGAATAATTCAAGCCAGGAGCAATTCTTAGGTGAGCAATTGATGAATTTTAGTGCGGATTACGAAGTGTTATTTTATGTAAACAAAGCGCAAATTTGACCAAATTGACCTTCTTGCCCCTTTGCTCACGGCGGCATACCTGAAGGTTTGACCTTAGGACCTTGGAGATAAAGTTATCATCTGCATGTGGATGTAATTTTTTATTTCAATTTTGGTCAAACAAATGCGAATTTTGCTTCCGAACTTTGTTATAATTTAGTGCACTTCCGCAACCTGCACAGAGGGGTGGCTTTCAAGGCTGACATCTTATCAACTAAGCAATCAATGAATTTGACATTTGTATGTTTTTTTAGGTAAAGATAAATAAAACAAATGGCGAATAAAACGTTTTGCCAGCGCATTTAGTTTTGATACGGTGCAGTCCTAAATATTGCAAAATTTCAGCCTTGAAAGTGATGACCAAATGAACCGGCTCGGCACAAAAAAAAAGATTTCCAAAAAAGTACTCCATTTTTATTAGTTCTATACCAAACCCTTTTGATGTGCCAAGTTTCAGAGAAATTGATTTTCTGACGCGAAGTTCGACGGACCGCTGTTAGGGAGACTGCCACTTAAGTTTGTTGAAAGAGAAGTATTGGGAACAGGGTGAATTCAACATGGCATCAGGGTCTCTTTCATCAAACTTATCAGATTAGGACCAATGTCAAAGAGGTCTATATTACGACCTGAGAGGTCAAAATTCCATGCTGCGGTTATAGCTTTAAATTCAGAGTCTGTTAGATCTGCATAGGGAAGTTCCGTAAGATATCGAGAGTTTGTTTCAGACATTACTTACAAATTTATAATTATTATTAAGTAATATATAACTTAGCTGAGAATTAAGCTTTAGTGCTGGTCCAAGAATCATTGAAAGTCTTCCATCGTTGTAAAATGTGAGATAGCTGAAGATTCTGATTTTCGAAGATGGATTGTCCCATTAGTTGTCCAAATGAATTTATAATTGTTTGCATTTTTAAACACATTTATTTTCCCAAATAATCTTCACCTATAAGCGGTTAACGATTCATTTATATAGATCTTGGCAGTTGTACCAATAGTTCCTTCTTGTATTTCAGCATTCACTGTTGGTAAACAGCGTGTGGTTTTGCCATTAAGCTCTGAGCGTTGTTTGTACACTTTGTCGCGCTTGTTACGCTTGACAAATTTCACAATTATTCTGTCCTTTGTGTTCTTCATATCCCGAAGTCTATGAGCAACTGAAATGTCGTTTTCATCCAGCCCAACGTTTAGAATCTCGCAGACTTCAGCTACAAGGTTGCAAGGATCATCTAACGGTACAACTGGTATACCAGTAATCTCTAGGCAATCGCATCTCAGGTACTGCTGCATTTCATCAACCGATGCCATATTGTTATAGACCTCGCCTTCAATATTATTAACCCTTTCTTCTGACTCCCTCAATTGATTTTGCATCGTTTTTAGTTATTTGTTCGTGGCTTGGGTTATCTCCATAACTTTATCGTATTTATCCGATATGAATTTCTGCGTTGACTCGATGGTTTTAAGCTGATTTCTCACTTCGTGTATTTGAGATTCAAATCGCTCAGCAACATATTGCATTTCTTTGCTAATTTCTCGCTTCAATTTGTTTAATATATCTTTCTTAAACTCTGGTATAAGCTCTTTTGACCAGAGGTCTTTAAATGATTTAGTCGTTAAAGCCATATTGATCTAAAATTACTAAATGTGGGAGCTCAATTATCTACCTCCGCATGCCACCAGTTTTCTTCTTCTTTGTTCTATATGTTGATTTTCCGGAACCCCACGATTCATTGGGTGTTGCAACATTGGCTAGACAAATGTTTCCCAGGTGCACAGATTCTTTACTGGAAGCATTTGGTGATGCAACGAGCAGACCCTATGGGTATCTGTTGATTGATTGTCATCAGCTGACTCTGGAGAGCATGCGGTTGCGAACGAATATATTACCCGGGGAAAGGCAGGTTGCCTACGTGAAACGTAGTTAAAAACGGGGTGTCTTTTCGGAAGGAGATCACTTTAGAAATGTCGAGACGTATGAAAGGAAGTCTTCCGTACTTGCAGGTGATGGCAAAGTCTGGGCCTAAACTGCGAAATTTACTTATTAATGTTCCTGCCAGCGTCCTTTTGGCCATATGCAAATGTTCCTTGAATCTGCTTAAAGGGGTCATTCCGGTGACGCCCCGTCAGAAGTGGCATTTGGCGCGTTATAAGACACATCTCCGTGCTCTGGCCAATAGGAAAGTGTCGAGGAAGAAAAAGAAGGCATACCTTAATCAAAGGGGTGGGAATTTGCTGGGAGTGCTTTTACTGCCAGCTCTGGGTGTACTGGGAAGTCTGTTATCATGAAGTATGCAAAGCGTATGGTACTGGTTCCTGAGGATGTGCTTAGTCGGTACAAACAGACGCAGTGAATTGAGACCTCTCCCGTAACAGCCGGTATGATGCATCAGGATACGGCCATGTCGGAAATCCTTGGGGATAAGAGTTTGTCTCATGCGGAGAAGCAGAAGTTGTATAATGCAAATATGGAGAATTATCTAAGTTTAAGAAAGCAGAAGGACGAGCACGTGCCTACGGTATGGATGGCACAGACTGAGGAGGAAGAGGGAAAGGAAGTGTCCCTGTCGGATGCGGATGTGATTGCCCATCTGCCTGCAACACAGCGACCGAAGGCGGCAATGCTGTTGAAGCGCTTAAGGGCAAAAGCTGGCGTTAGTGCATGGGACGAGTCCAGTAAGGTGAAGGTGGATGGTAAGGAAATTGCTGGTTCTAATATATCTGATCTGATTAGTGATGCTGTAAGGGCATGGAAGAATTTCAATCCCACAGGATTGCGGGAATTTTTTCAAGGATTGTCAAGGCTTAATATACCAAGAGATATTGCAGGAAACGCAAAGAGGTGGGAGGAGATCCAGGGACCAGTTAGCCGTGGAACACCTCCTGTACAGACACCTCCTCTGCAAGTACCCCAAGAGGAGACACCCGAGGACAGGGCACGGCGTTACTGTCAGTATATACAGGCTGTTTGAACATACCAAGGAATTGGCTTAGTTATCATTAGGGACTGTTAGTGACGGTTCTGTTAAAGAACCGTTCCAAAAATTGCTTGTTCCAAAAGCAGGATCTGCAGTAAACATAGAGAACATTGACTTTTAAATTGCAATGAATAATAAGTGTAGGGTTTGTGGGACGTGCGCATATTAGGAAAAGGGGTATTCTGAGTAGGTTGAGGAATTGTTGTAAATGTTTTTAAATAAATAAAATGTAAAACAGGCATTTCCTTGTTGTTTTCTTGTAGTGACGGTTCTGTAAAAAAAACATCGTAAAAAATTCCTTTTTTCAAAGGTCATATTTTTTAGATTATTGACAATTGATAGTTGGCGACCGTGTGGTTTGCATGCGGGACCTGCGTGGAAGAAAAAACGAACTGCGACGCTTTTTTTAAAAAAAGGAGATTTATTGAAAACAATTTTTACAGGATTGATTCGGTACGACACTTGAGTGCCATGACAATATTTTAAAATGATTTTTAACAAACCAATATACCTTTGTATCGTTGGAGACTGTATCACTGTTAAAGAAGTGTACAGTTCTTATGTTCATGTTCTTATTTATGATTATTCATCCAGAATAATCATAAATTACATTCCTTTCGGAATCAATGTCGATTGTATTTTCAAACTCTCCGTAGTAAACAAGACTCACGGCGTGGGCTGGTCCTGCGAAGAACTGAATATCTATGGCCAGATTTCCTTTCTGCAACACATTAAATTGAGGGGAGGCTCTGCACATGTCTGGTGTCAAATCAAAGGCATACACGGCATAACCGTTGGGAAATTCATCTCGGGATATAGCGTTGCCTGTATTGTGATACATTTTGCCAGTACCAGAGAACATCGTGTTGTATGCTTCGACGTACCTGGGCGTTGCAGCTTCGTAGGAAAGCTGCAAGGGTTTGAATGGCATTTCTTCTCCATTAACAGTGATTCCAATGGATGTCACTCTGAAATGCTGGAAGTTGTACAGATTTTTCTTGTAGGCACCATTAAACGCTTCGCTTTCGACCATACCAAAGACATGGTACAAGTCCATTGAAAAGGTTATCTTTCTTTAGGGAGGGGTTTCCGGCGGGAATGATAAAGCTTTTACATTCGACGTGACGAATGGGGTAGATGGCTGGTCCTTTCTTGAGGGCTATTTCATGAGCCACAGAGACGGTTGGATTGACTTTTACTTTACGGAGCCTGAGAGAAGCATCAGTAAGTTTTACACGAAAATCGGCACCTGCTCCAGAGGCCATGAGACAGAATTTATTGTTGTTACAATTCAGGGTAACTTTTAGATCCACATAACTTAGGAGGAGACCCTCGGTCATGAATATATCGCTGAAGATGGGTCCTGCCATTTCGATGATTCCACTTTCCTCGCTGAAGGTGTACTGTGTTTTAAGCCCAGCATTGTGATTAGGGGCAGCTACTGTGGGATTGGCAACATCCATTTTTCCTGCCGTGTCTTTATAGTACAAGGCAGAGGTAAGCTGGGATTCCTTGGCGGTGGGGCCATAATTGAGGAGGGTTTCCAGATAGGCATGGTAGGCATAGGTTCCAGTAGCCTGGGTAACCTGCTTTTCTTTTAAGAAGATGTCTACTTGCTTGAACAAGCTGTGCAGGAAATTGTTTACCACTCCAACCTTAAATAGGGGAAAGTTTAGTTAGTAACCGAAAATGGGTCCGGTATTTATGGTGGAAGGGGGAGCATACCTTTTCGTCTGCATCAAGATTGTTTCCATTAGCTTTTGTTACTTTAGCCCTTATCACAAGGATTGTTTTGGAAAGGTCCACATAGTCCTCGGTACCCGAGGAAAGGAACGTGATACTACCACCATCGGTCACACTAGCAACGGGCTGATGATCTATCCAATGTCCTTTTTCCAAACTAATTTGTGTTGGAGGTACGAAAAATAGGTTGAGTTTGCTTTTTGTGCATTCTTGCGAACCGGAGTGTACAAAACTCATACTGCTTAACCAAAGATGTTGTGAGCTGTTTTCCATTTCTTGGTCAGACGACGTCTGGTTGTGGATGCTGATGGCCTTCCTCTCTTTAGCTGTTCGTTTTATGCTCTTCGAACGCCTGGTACGTTTTGCCCATCCGGTCTGACCAGTTAGCTTGTTCCGAGCTTTTCGTTTTTCGCCGTGAATTGCCTGCAAAGAACATGCCTTTGGGGATGCCCTAACGCTTGAACCAGAGAGAACGTCCCCCAGGAAATCGGTTCTGCTTCGTAGGGCGGCCTTACCAAGGGATCGTGCACCGGCCTTAAGCAAGGGGACGCTTTTTCTCGCAAGGGATTTTGCACCGGCCTTTGCACCAGCCTTGAGCGTGGGTACACTTCTTTGTGCAAGGTTCTTGACATCTGCCTTGACACCGGCTTTTAACAGGGGTATACTTGATCTTGCAAGGGCACTAAAGATCCCTCCCAGACCGTACCCTGTTTGTCCATAGCCCGCTTGCCAGGGGCTACCTCTGAAGACTGACATTCCACGTCCCTGTTGCTGGTCCAAGTAATAGTTTACAAGTGGATTACTAGTCAGCGGATTACTAGTCAGCAGACTGCCGAACATGTTGAAGCGAAGTAACTCTGCTTTCTGAAGTAGAGTGTTGCTATTACTGTCCCATGTTCGAATGGCACAGGGGCATCCATACCGTCCCTTAAAAGAATCTGAATGTCTTCAAAGGATTTTGTCTGAGCGGGTACATATTGTATATTGTTGAACATCTTTGCGACAATGTCACCAGATCTGCCGGTTACGGGAATGGTCCGAAGCAGATGAACACTGACATCTCCCACAATCTGGGACTGAACAACGTCACAGTAAATGTAGACCATGGCAATATCAAATAAATCTGCAATGTACAGACTTGTGGTTGTTTTTTTAATTTTCATATCTATTCCCCCAAATCCCAGCATAGCCGACATCTTCGTGGCTAGTCCCAGCATGTACCCTCTTTGGCTAATCCTCACTTTTATCTTGGGGGTTCTAGGGTCGAATGTTAGAGTAATGTTCTTGTTTCCAGTCTCTTGTCAGGGCCCTGTTGACGGCTGCAATAAGATCCTGTACCATTTTGTAACAGCCACAGTCTATGTGTGCCATTGAGAAGACAAGACCATCGTCACTGTAGTAAATGTGATTATCGTCTGCATGCAAAGTGTACCATGTATTCTGATAAGAAATGGAATATAACCCGACTTCCCAGTTGCCATTTAAATCGATAGGATGAGGTAATTTCACACGGTAACTTCCCATCTTATTATCAGGAAACACATCCAGAGACGCATTGCTGGGTAATGTAAGGTAAAAGTGTGTTCCACTCATCTTCCTTTAGGTGAAGTAGGTACGTTGTTTAAAATGTAGCGTCACTACCACCTTTCCGCGTTTGAATGACACGGGGTTACCAGTGTCATTCCTTAAAAGAACCTCCACATCTCCAAAGGACTTTGTTTGAACAGGTACATGCTGAACGTTAGTAAAGGTGTTGGTAATAATTTCATCGTATTTTCCTTCCACGGGAATACTTCGAAGTACATTAATGTCCCCAACAATTTGTGGTTTAACGATGTTACAATACGTGTAAATAGTCGAAAAGGTATTTAAGTTTGCTGTGTGGGAACTTTCATGTGTTAACCCCTTAAGGAGTATGTCCTTGCCCCCGAATCCAAGAATAAGGGAAATTTTTCCACCAAAGATAAGCCTACACTTGGCCTTCAGGTGAACCGTTACTTTTCTGGTCAGGACTTCATAGGTAAAGTACATGGTAGTTCTGTTTCCGATCTCGTTTTCCAGGGCATTGTTTAGACCCTTGGTAAACTCCCCTAGGGTCTCATACTGACCATACTTTATGACTGCAGCCGATGGCCATCCATCGCCCTGATCGTAATAAAAGTGGGTGTTTGTATTAATATCCTGTAAAGTATACCACATATTTGGATAGGAAATAGAACACAGCCCGACTTCCCAGTGACCATCCAAATTGATGGGTTGTGGTAATTTGACGTGATACCCCGTTGTCTTATTATCAGGAAAAACGTCCAGGGATGCATTACTCGGAAGTGTAAGGTAAAAGTGTGTTCCGTCCATTTCGGTTTCCTGATAAAAGCAAGGGGCGCGCAGTATGTCTGTCTACTTAAATCTTGTTTATTTCTGATGCGGGAACCCACAAATTGAATTTACTAGGATATCCCAACCATTTTGCAAGGTAATGGACATTATTACCCCATCCACGCTTTTTCAGGATTTCTTCAATTTCGTAAACGCCGTCCTCCTTAATGATTTTCTGCAGTTCCTTTTCGTAAAACGTTTCCTTGAGTTCCTTGCCGTCCAGGTCTTTTAATTTATACACCGGGGGATCACAGGGTATTTCTTTGGAAAAATTCTGCAGGTACCCCTTTTCAAACGTACGTTTCATCTTGACCTGATCCCCAATCTTAAACTTATACTTTACGTTGTTCACAGCACCATGGTCACCCTACAGTGCGTGCCACACTTCCTTCCCATTTTATGCAGTAACATCCACGGGTTTTGCCTTAATGCTCTGGTGAACACTGTGATTATAGGAATACCAGCTAAAGATGCCACATGTAACTTCTGCAGAAAGCAAGCACATTTCCAGCGAGCTTGCCTCCAGAAAAAAGCGAAAATGAATGATGAGAAACAGAAACGATTACATAAAGTTGAAGTTTCATTTGACCTGGAAAGCAGTGGCTATGACGACAACTTTGATTTCAACCCAGTGACCATTGATGCTGTGCAGAGAGCAAAGCCACGTGAGATATTTGCACCAGTAGTATTTGATACAAATGAAGATGGCAGTGCAACCTTTACAGTCAAAGGCAAGGTTGACACAGGCACCATGGTATCATGCATACCAGCCTCCATGCTTCCAAAACTCGGGCTTTGGAACAAGGATCTTACACCTAACAGCTCTGTCATTCGAGGCATGTCAGGAGCAGACCTCCAGAACTGTGGAACGGTGGACATTAACGTTACATGCAATAATATCACCGCAAAGGCGAGATTTTATGTTACAAAGCATGATCATGCTTTCATTCTTGGACTGGGATTCTGCAAGAAATTCAAGTTGGTGACAATATCTCCAGTGTGTACAACAACACACTATTTCTGTGGAACCCAATAAGGTAGAGGCTGTACATATTACTAGTGAGTCAAATGTTAACTACAATGAAATGAGGAACTAGGGATCCAAGGATAGTGTGAAGTTTCAAATTGAAAAAGACACTGCAAGAACTATATAGGGTCGCTGACAACATAGAAAAGCTGAGGGCTTACACTACGAAATAAACAGTTACCAAAGGCATTTCATCTCATTATTTATTGCTCTTAATACGCTCGGCACACGAGTGGCGTGACGTTTGAAACAAGCCTAACACACCAGAAACGTGCCTTGTGAAACTGATGCAATTTATCTATTTCTTGTGATGCTACACGAGACAATTCAAAATTTTAATTGTTTCACCAACAACCAAAATTTGCATATTCTAAATTTTCATTTGCATTTGCAGCTGTAGCTAAAAGCATCCCCACGAGGCTACTGCTATGCTAAATTTATCTAAAACTATAATTGAAATAGCTGTATAAGATATGTTATGAATAGTAAACACTACGTCGTTACATCATTTAAAAGGACGCATTTTATCCTCATCCGTTTCGTATTTTTCGTGGGTCCGCTCCATCCGCTTCATTATTATATTGTATTATTGCGTAGAATCTCAAAGATTTTCTCAATATTCATGTCTGAAATGTTTATATACTTGAAAACAACACTGTCTCGCTTCTGCCTACGTACTGTACCTCTGTACAATGAGTATGCCGTGAAAATAATATTGGCACTCAATTGAATGCCTAGAATCTCAAAGAAATTCTCAATATTTACGTCTGATATGTTTATACATTTGAAAACAACACTGTCGCTCCTTCCTAGCTCTGTATAATGAATATACCGTCTACATATATCAGTACTTGATTGAAAGATCGTCATGCATAACATAAATTTGTATATATTGCGCAGATTCTCAAAGATTTACTCAATATTCATGTATGAAATGTTTATACATTTGAAAACAACACTGTTGCTCCTTCCTAGCATCGTGATCTACGGCTTCATAGCGCATGCACATTTGCGCTGCTATAGAAAAAATCGGGTGTTCCGGGGGAAAGATCCTTTACACAACATGAGAAGCGAATGTTCTAAAATTACAAAAATTTACAATAACAACAACGATTCCTCGAAATTTTTGTGAACTTGGCAAAAGGACAAAAGAAAATTTAAAGAAAATAAATAAAATTGCTTAAATAACCTTCAAAGCACTGACTAAGTACAATAAATCACTGCGAACATAAATCGTATACACCCCCTGGAAAGTTTACTCTATGATTGACTGACTGACTGATTCGTGTAAATTCGCCAGCCATCACAACAGTGTGAAGTGAAACTTCACACTAAAAAATGGAAGGAACATATTCCGCTAGGGAAGAAAACAGGCAACCCATTAGAAGACCTGAAGAAAATCTTCCCCAAGACATTTGATGGACAAGTTGGCTTGTTTGAAGGAGAGGCCCACCTGAAACTATCACCTGAAGCACGACCTGTTCAGCTACCACCTCGTGCTATACCCCAGAGTGTTATGCCTGACCTCAAGAAAGAGTTAGACAAAATGGAGCAAGAAGGGATTATCCGACCCTGACCAGAAACAATGGATTGGGTCCACAATCTTGTGGTCGTCGTCAAGAAAAATGGAACTCTCTGTTTATGTCTAGACACACAAAGTCTCAACAAATACCTGATTCGCAATGTACATTATACTGCCTCTTGGGAAGATGCCCAGCATAGTTTTAATAATGGTCAATACTTTTCGACACTTGACACCAAGAGTGGGTACTGGACCAAGCAGCTTGACAAACAAATCGGCTCCTCACTGTGTTTAATACCCCATTCAAGAAATTCTGCTTCTTACGTCTTCCATTTGGGCTATCAGCATCCTCAGAAATATTCTGCGAGCAAATGGGTCACATCCTGTGTGGTATTCCTGGCAACTTTCCATGCGCTGACAATGTTAAAGTGCAAGGATCAACGGAAGAGCGCCATGACATCCACCTTTTAGAAACTGTCGAGAAAGCATGTCAAGCAGGATTAAAGTTCAACCCAGAAAAGTGTGTGATCAAAAAAGAGGAGATTGAGTACTTAGGATGTGTCATCTCTCCACAAGGCATGGCACCATGCCCCAAGAAAGTCAAGAACATCCTGTCACTCGTAGCTCCAACGGACAAGCAAGAGCTACAAAGCCTGCTGGGAACTTTATGGCAACATTTATTCCTAACTTGACCAAGAAGACCCATCTTATGTGCAGGCTGCTCAAACGAGATACACATTTCGTATGGACCAGTGATATGCAGAAAGAGCTGGATAACATCAAGAGGGACATCGCCAATGTCATGAAGCTCATCCACTATGATCCTACAAAACCTGTGGTCATTGAAAGTGACGCATCCCAGAAAGGTCTCGGCGCTGTCTTGATTCAGGATGGTAAGGCAGTGCGTTTTCTTAGCAAAGACCCTCACGTCTGCGGAAACTAACTATTCTAACATAAAACGGGAACTCCTGCAATTCTATTTGCATGTGAGAAGCTACACACATACACGTTCGGACGCGAAATCATTGTACACACAGATCACAAAGCACTGCAGTCCATTTTCCAGAAACCGATAAGCTTGGCACCATCACAATTACAGAGGATGCTTCTTCGTCTCTCCAACTACAATGTCCAAGTGAAGTACGTTGCTTCCACTAGGGGTGTGCTATTAGCTGATACTCTGTCTCGTCTTGTGGATCCTAGCAAAGCCAAAGAAATCCCTGGCTTAGATATCAACATTGCACAAGTTATCAAGGTGGAACCAGCTCGACTCGCATCACTACAAGAGGAAACGAAAGCTGGTCATGCACTGGTTGAGTTGTCAAACTTGATCATTGCAGGCTGGCCAGACAGCATGCAAGATGTACCGCAACACCTGCACCCGTACTGGTGTTTCCGCGATGAACTAACAATACTTGACGGTCTCATTATGAAAGGGAATAGAGTCATCATTCCCACCAGTATGCGACATGACACACTCAGTCGACTACATGACGCACACCAGGGCATTACTTCAACCCTTCAATGTGCAAGGTGCACCGTTTACTGGCTAAAGTTGCGGGATGACATCACTGAGATGGTCCAGAAATGTGATGACTGCCAAAGGCATGGTAACAAGAAGTCTAGAATCCCAGAACGACAAATCGCGGCCACACGCCCAATGGAAATCATTGGCATGGATCTTCTAGAGTTCCAAGGCGGATATGCACTGGTCATGGTAGACTATTTTTCCGGATTCCTCACATACGACACCCTGAAAGTTCAAACAAGTGAAACAGTGTTAAAGGTGCTAAACAGCAACTTCAGAAAATTCGGGCTACCAGAGAAGATACTCTCAGACAATGGCCCATGCTTCAGATCGGAAAGCTTTCGACGTTTTTGTGAACAGCTCGATATCGGCCACATAACATCAAGTCTGTATCACCACCAAAGCAATGGTAGAGCAGAAAGGGCTGTTGGGATTGTCGAACATATTCTGAAGAAAAGCACAAGCGATGTAGCCATCACAAAGGCACTTACAACTTACCTTGACACCCCAGTAAGTGACACACTACCATCACCGGCTGAACTCTTCTTCAACAGGCGGATTAATACCTGACTTAGCATGAACATGACACCAGTACCTTTGACTGATCGGCAAAAAACTGGTCTCAATGACAAGCACTCAGCTCACTTGAAGTCAACAAAGCAAGAGCAAGTGAAGTACATGCCCAATCAACCCGTTTGGTTTACCGATGATGCCTCGGATGAATGGAAACCTGGTTATATCGACTCTAAAGACAGCACACCAGACTCATACTGGATTATCAACAACGCAAGCAACAGAAGGTTGAGACGGAATACACATGATGTTAAACCACGCCATACCTTTATCGCACACCAGCGACCCCAACAGACTGTCCCTGACAGTCATCCAGAATGCCATGTAGACCGCGAAAGCCCACCACCTGCTGTAGTAGAACAACCAAGTGGGTGGTCAGAAATACCTGATTCACCCCCAAAAAATCCACCATCATCACCCACGACGACACCACCACCACCTCATCGAGTCATACCAGGAACACCGAAGACGTCTAATGACAACATGATGATATTTTGTGTTCAATATATAGACCACAGTAAGACTTTTTTTAAATGTTCATTTCATTAACAAACTCTAACTCTTTTTCATTAACAAATGTTTGTTAATGAAATAAACATTTAAAAAAAGTCTTACTGTGGTCTATATATTGAACACAAAATATACTATTAACATGAGACTTAGGGAAAGTTCGTTCCTAAACATTTTGAAGAACATGATGATGATCAAGGCAGCAAATCCTGCACAAGTGCTGACCCGATCACGCTCAGGATGTCTGGTCAAATCAACTGAGAACTCAGATTTTGTATATAATGTTATCTCGTTTAGTTCGTGAAGCAGAAGAATTTGTTACTGTTATGTTACTCTTGGTTCTGAAACCATGCCTCAAGAGGGGCATGTTGCATTAGGCCCAGAACAGTTTAGATTACTTGAAGTATAGTGTAAGATGCGGACCGAGAGGACTGGAGAGAGAACAATATGGCGCCATAGATTTATTGTTGTGTTTAATAATAGAATGTTAAAGAACGTTATTTGAACAGTAATAGAACATTTTAAAACGTGTTTTCAGTAGAGGAAATAGAACAGGTCCTATAATCGAAATCATTGTTTACATACCTGATACCTACATGGTCAATTCCCACAAATTATTTTGCCATTGCCATTGATTTCCAAACATTGGCATTGATTATAAACTGCCATGCAGGGCACTATACTGCATGGTTTAAATTTAGCACTTTGCTTTGGAAACTAGTGAGAGCATTTGCTGCCTTGCAGACTGTGAAATTGGCATATTTCCTAAAGCTTGGAAGATAGCAGAGATTATACCCATCCCTAAGACCGACGAAGTGGAACCCACCAGTAACAACCACCCCATTTCATTACTACCGATATTATCTAAGATTTGCCAGCGCGTTGTACATCAACAGTTCACAAACTATCTAACTATTAATAAGCTTTTGTCAATCCATCAGAACGATAATAAATGATATCATTCAACTGAGACATTGGGCCTCCAAATAACTGATGATATACTTAATGCTATGGACCGCAAAGAAATTACAGCTATGATTTCGTTAGATCTCAGTAAAGCCTATGATAGTATTAGCCATTCTCTTTTGGTGGCTAAACTTAAAAGTATTGGTGTCTCAGGGATTACGTTGGATTGGTTCATAAGTTACCTTTCCGACAGGGAGCAACAAGTGAGAATAGAATCTGATCTGTCCGAGCCTCTTCCAGTAAAATACGGAGTACCGCAGGGCTCTATTTTGGGCCCTCTCTTGTTTAATATCTACACTAATGAACTTTGCTCAGCAACCACTAACTCATCTGTTAAATCCTACGTCGATGATACTAAACTCTATCTCTCCCATTGAAAGAACTGAATGATGGTCTTGTTAGATTGAAGGAGGACCTGAATAAAGTTACGGGATGGTGTAGTACAAACCAACTCTTAATAAATCCAGATAAAGCTCAGTTTATCTTGTTTGGTGTCAGTCAACTTTTGCGCCATGTCCCATTAAATGTTGAACTTCCATTCCTTGACAAAATTCTTAAACCTGCTGGTCATGTTAAAGATTTGGGAATCACTTTAGATCAATCCTTATCTTATTCCAGTCACATAAATGAAACTGTATCATCATGCCATTTTAAGCTGTCTCAAATACGTCGAGTTAAACACCTACTTGATAAAGCAACACTGGAACTTACTGAATCCTACTCTATTGCTCGACAGTATGGTCTTCAACAAGTAGGCAGAACATCCAAAAGCTACAACATATTCAAAACTTTGCTGCCCGGATAATTACTGGAGAACCCAAATTCTGTCATATTACACCTATATTGCATAATTTATCCTGGATTCCTATCCCCGAAATAATCTATGTAAGACAGGCAGTGATGACTTACAAGTGTATCAATAATCTTGTACTGGAATATCTATCCTCAAATCTTGAGTCTTGTAGGATTAAGAATAAAGCTTATAATACAAGAAGCAAGGACGAATTGAGACGCCGAAATGCCGTATAAAAAACACTGAATGCACTTTTATATTTAGAGCGTGTAAACTTTGGAATCAGCTTGAAGAACAGGAGAGACAGTTAAAATCTTTACCCCAATTTAAGAAAGCAGTGAAGAAACGGCTCCATGAAAAGTTTTCAAACATTTCAACTTTGAAAGGAACTTATTTTTAGATTTTATGATGTACATACATGGTCCTTATAATGTACTTTTAACATTTTAATATATGTAATAACTTATAATAGCTATTCGCTTTTTATATTGTAAATTTCAAGACGTAATATTGTAATTTAAACCTGAAAAACCCTACGGGGAGGTTGAATAAATCTACTACTACTACATGTCTAAAGACCTTTCAAAACCACAAGGACAGAAACATCAAATGCCACCTCGGGAATGTTGTTGCCATGGTTTTACTGCTGACCTCTATATAATATGTGTACAGGCATAAAATCAACAAGTTCAGTTGATATTGACAATTTGACAGGGAGGTTGTGTTGCCCACTATGAACAGGTTGTCAACAATATTGTTGCAAGTTTTGTTGACAACATGTTCATAGTGAGCAGCACAACCTTGTTCACACCTGTCAATATCACCCGGGAACAAGTTGTTGATTTTCTCAATTTTTATGTGTGTACTGTTGTGCTTTTTATTACAGATTCAGAAATCATCACATTTTAAAGTTTATCTTGACTCTCGAGTCTACGACTGTATTTTTTTATATTCTTTTGTGTTCAATATATCATACAGGGGCGGATTCAGCGTCTCAATCTGACCGTAGCATTTTGGATGAAATCAACATGCGGGGCCGAATGCCACGCCCTACCTAGGGGGGGTTTGGGCATGCCTCCCCGAAAATTTTTGAAATTTGAAGCCCGAAAGTACCATTTTCTGCATTCTGAGCATCGAAATTAGATTTAAAATTTGTAGAAAAGCGCCTGTTTTTCACACCAAAATAAGAAAAAAATGCACAAAAGTTACAAAATTTATTCATCAACATACCACTTCGAATAACAGATTATCTTGAAAAAGTAAGATAACAGTAGTTCGAAAGTTTTCAAATGTACATCATCTTGAAACAGCGGCCCAGCGATAGTTAGGGAAAATGTTTATCTGGCTTTAAGCAGCAGATCATCCCGAAACAGCAGAACAACTTATGGCAGTCAGGAAAAATATTTTCTGTATATAGATTATCTCCAAGTTATAGGAAAAATGTTTATTTGTAGATCATCTTGAAACAGCAGCACAACAGCAATTAGGAAAAATGTTTATTTGTATATGTTTTTGTACTAAAATTCGAGCAGTTCTGCAGGAATTCGCGCGGAGCTGGGTGTGCAAATTTTAGTACTGCAGGAAATATAATCTGCACGAAAAGCTTTGCGGTGTAATATTCACTCATTGTTAGTAAATAATATAATGTAAGGCACTACCATATACAAACCTATAATATATTTTGAAGTTTGAACTTTATACGCTTTACTCTTATCATGAATTTTGACAAATATTGAAGTATTTGTTGTTGCTGCGGAGCGAGCGAGCCTGCAGCAAGTGAGCGTAGCAGCAGCCTAATATATGCAGAGAGGGGGTTTTGAACTAAATTTTATTTAGCACACGGAATTGTGGTCGTGCGCACTTTCTATGTGCAGAAGACAAATTTTAAACTCGCTCAGTCGCTCGAGTCTGCAAATTTTTATGGAATTTCTAAAGCTTTTTCAAGTCTAATTTTACGCTTACATTTGTTTTGGACTTTGGCCACTGTCAGTTCTATATTTTTATAAAGTTTTGGTTTCTTAGTGTGATAAATCTGTGTATATAGTCTACAGTATATATAATAAGGTAAATGCGCCTATCAGTAAACAGACTTGATATAAAATTTGATCTTAATTTACCTGTATGTCAATGAGATGCACATGATTAATATCTGTCACCTATAATATATATTGCTTAATTCTTCTCAGTTCCATTCACGGCTCACTAGTCGCTGCGAGTAATCACTGTGCTTGATATAATTTGTGCTGCTTACTGTAGTTCTATTTGCTTTTAATGCCCGCAGCAATCCCTACCTTGCAGGTACCCTAGTTATAGTTCTATTAAACAAACCAAAAGGAACCAACACGGAAAATTACTTGCGCGAATTTAAAGCTGCGCGAACAAGTTTCGCGAATATACGACGCGAATATACAACGCGAATTTTAATACAAGTAAGGTATACAATACATGGATTTGAAACATCTAACCATATATTCATGATACGTTATCCCAGGAAGCAGGCTCAGCTGTTGTAATTCTAAACTCTGTTAGTAAACATGTAAACTACAATATAATATATCGGAGTGCAACTATTTCTATAAATTTCATTTACACTACTCACTACTCTTTATAGACTACAACAGGTCTACAACTATATAATTACATGAGCAAAGTCTAAGATATAAAATATATAGGAGATTAACTAACATATTTCTTAATATAAACACACATGGCATGCCAATGGCTATCAAATAGTGTGAGTGGCCATTGATATTGTTCTGCATTTTTATAATAACACGTTTCATCAGCAAATATATGGTAATATATTCGAGACGCATGAACTGTGTAAAATTCGATATGTTATTTACATATTTAATATACTATTCATGAGACTGACCTGACACAGAGGTGATTCAAACAGCGCTGTTTTCACAGTTCACATCGCAGGAAATGCAAATTATGCCAATAATCGCACACCAAAAGCTTTCGATCAGAATTCTTTCGCGCACCTTTTCGTTAAATGAAACACGTTTACATTCGTTCATTATACACAGAATGAGAAGATCGTAGAGTCCTGTAGAAGCCACATCTTTATCCTTGGAACGAGCGGCGATTAAAATTTAGCGACTATTCGATTACAACGTGGAGCCGACACGACAATATACTAGCCAGCATCGCTCTGAAGTCGATGCGACTATTGCAAACAGTAGCATTTTGCCTCATTCTGATTGGCTTGCTTTGTCTGACCGTAGCAAACCAATCAGCACGCCGTATTTGGGAATTTTTGCAACGGTCAGTTTCAATCTGACCACTGCAAAAATTTCCAAATACAGCGCTATGATTGGTTTGCTATGGTTAGACGAAGCAAGCCAATCACAATGAAGCAAATGCTACAACTTCAGAACGATGTGATATAGTACTAGTGCAATACATGTCTCTTTCAAACTTTGTGCTTTCAGAATCAGTTAAGTTTATATACTCTAGGTATATTGCTATTTGATGAAGCCATATCTTAGTATTTATTCAATTTATTTTGAGGAAGGTTTGAAAACTTTAAATTTTACCCAGAGGAAATTTGAACAGGTTTTGCATCTCTGTCTATAGTAACTGACAGATATGCAAGGGCGGATTTTCATATTTTTCTCTGGGGGAAAAAATTCAAATCTGGGGCTCTAAAACAGCATTTCCTGTGTTTTGGCGTCACTTTTAAAATTAATTTAATGATTAGAAAATGCATGTTTTTAAGTGAATTTTTTACTAATACGCAGCTCAAACAATGAATTGAACCTTTTCCAAAGCGTATTAGCTAGTGCCTAGTGATAAAAATATAGGATCCGCTAATTGCTGACACATTGATTTAGGTCTTTTCAACACTTTCAATCCAACTCTAGCGACGAACTAAAAACCAAACTACAAGAGTGTGAAAGCTTCACAATCATTTCCTGATTCTCAATCGCCAAAGCAATGATCAGTAGATCTAAATACGCTTGGTAGTCCATAATCAAATTGCAATAATAGATTAGACAACTTCATTTTAATGAAACAGAATATTCTTTAAATTAGTAATACACATGGAAGGTTATAGACTTTCTTTCTTTGGAAAATCTGACAGGTTTATGTAAACCTGTCAAACCTGTCTGAATCTGCCCCTGATGTGAATGTGTGAACGTGTGGTGCCGATGAGCACGTTAACTTATTTTTTGTAAGTGTGTTTTAAGTTAATTTAAGTTCATTTGCTGCAAAAAAGCATATATAAAAAAATGTTAATTTTAATATTTCTGTCTTACTTAACAGTAGTTTAATTTAGTGCATTTAAATTTTGGCAGGGACAGGGGATGCACATTTTTGTTGGGGAGATGCACAATTTCTTGGGGGGGGGGAGACTTTTTGGGGGTGCGCACCCCCACAAAATCTGTCCTTGCAGATATGCAAGAAAAAATGCTCTTTTTTATGTATTATTTGCCTGATAATCATAATCGGCTGAATACATGCACTTCACACTCAATGTGTCAATGGTTCCTCGTTTAATTAATTACATTTGAGAACACAATGTTTTGATCGATCGTGTGAGATATTGTTTATTAATAGACATTTATAAATAGGACATTACGTACGCGTCATAGGGGCGTGGACTATAAGACAATAGGTTGTTGTTTTGGGGATTTTTACGTTGAAGAATCGAACTAATGAACTAGAGTCTAGATTCGAATTGATATTATGAGAAAGTCTTACTACGGAATATAATACATCTAATTGAGCAGTCTAAAATATATTACATGGTCCTTCAGAGCTGGATTAAATTGAGGATAAAATGAGTAATATCAAGAAGAAAATAAAGATACGACAGGGTCATAGAGTTTATCTTACGAAGATTCTGGGCAATGCCGATGATATTGTTCAAAACTACGATGGAAATCAAGAAAAGAAACTAAAGCAAATCAGGATCACTCTAAAAGAACGATTGGACACTTTAAAGACCCTTGACGAAGAGATTCTAGAGCTTATCGAAGCTGACGAGGAAATATCTACTGAGATCGAAGAAGCAGGAAAATATCGCGAGAGTGTTCACGAAATGATTGTAAATATCGACAGCGTGCTCGAGGCCAAACCGATGAATGAAACTATGTCTATGAGTATGAACGATTCACAGCAACTATCTACACCAGGACATTATCAATCGACAATAAAACATGCGAAGTTGCCAAAACTTACTCTAAAACAATTTGATGGACAGCCATGCGAATGGTAAGCATTTTGGGACAGTTTTAAGTGCGCAATACATGAGAATCCGGGGTTATCCGACGTGGATAAATTCAATTACTTAAAAAGTTTACGGGAAAAGTCTGCAGCAGCCACGATCGAGGGTTTATCGTTGACAGATAGTAACTATGAAACTGCGATTGAACTATTACAGCAAAGATTCGGAGACAAGCAAGTTGTCATTAGTAGCCATATGGATAGTTTATTAAAACTCCCACAACTACGTTCATCTACCGATACTAAAGGTTTACGGCGTCTTTATGATCAAATCGAAGCACACGTGAGAGGGCTAAAATCGTTAGACGTGCCAGACACGGAATACGGAGCGTTGTTATTACCGATTTTAATCGGCAAAATACCCGACGAAATACGCATTTTACTCGGTCGCAAAATGACAGGCGAATCATGGAATTTGAATACGTTACTTGAGAATTTTCGCGAGGAATTGGAAAACCGGGAAAGATGCGAAGGAATTATAGTAAGAAGGATTATAAACAATTTGTACAAAACAGAATCGACGAAATTCTACGATTAACTGATTCAGAAACTTGGAGATTTTGCCCAGGTTTAGAAAACCCAGTGGATATTGGTTCTCGTGGACAGAAGGCCTCAGAGCTAGCACAAAATGATTTATGGTTGAAAGGCCCGCAATGGTTAACACTTGATCCCTCTGCATACCCAAATCGTGAGTTTGCACAAAGTGATGTAGAACTCTCCGAAGAGTGCATGAAAGAATGTCACGTTAAATTACCTACCAAGGGGAATACCACAGTGGTTAATGTGACAAATGTTAGTGAAACACATCCACCAGAAACAGTCGGTTCAACAAAAATCTCAGAGATAATAGACCACAAGTCTTACAGTAGCGTAACCAAGTTGTTTCGTGTTACAGCGTGGGTTAAGAGATTCATTAGAAATCTCAAAACGAAGAAAGCCTGTGGTAAAATTGATCCATTGTTAAAGCCAAATACACTCACTATTGAGGAAATTGATGATGCAGAGAAAATTTGGATCAGAGAAATACAGGAACATGTGAAGAAACAGAAGAATTACCAAGATCTGATCAACCAACTCGGACTTTATGCCGATAAAGATCACATTATCAGATGTAAAGGAAGAATGGAAAATGCATCTACTGACGTGGAAACAAGGAGCCCAATTCTCTTGCCGAGAGATAACAGCATTTCTCAATTGATCGTGGAGTCCTGTCACAAGAAAGTCAAGCATGGAGGAATAAAAGAGACACTAACAGAGTTAAGGAGTAAATATTGGATTCCAAAAGGTCGTCAATTGGTGAGATACATTCTTAACCGATGTGTAAAGTGTAGGAAAGTCCATAGTGTACCATTTAAACCGGTTAAACAAGCCAGTTTACCAGAACATAGAGTCAAGGAAACAGCAGCCTTTACACATGTGGGGGTCGATTGTGCTGGACCTTTGTTTGTAAAAACTAGCGACCCTAAAAAGCAGATGAAGAAGACATATATATGTCTATTCACATGTTCTACCTCAAGAGCTCTACATTTGGAACTAGTACATGACTTATCAACTACAGCTTTTATTCGATGTTTAAGACGTTTTATAGCAAGGAGAGGAACTCCAGTATCCATTGCATCAGATAACGCTAAGACCTTTAAAAAGGCAGATAAGGAACTTGCGGAATTGTTCAAAGATAAGAAACTGGAAGAGTTCTTGACAACTGTTAGGATCAAATGGAACTTCATATTGGAACGTGCCCCATGGTGGGGTGGATACTATGAACGTATGGTACAGTTAGTTAAGAGGAGTCTACGTAAAATACTCGGAAATGCGAGATTAACATTTGAAGAGTTAACCACGGTGTTGACAGAAGTTGAGGGATCACTCAATTCTCGCCCATTGACTTACGTATATTTGGAATTGTCTGATGGAGAACCATTGACACCATCACATCTCGTAATCGGAAGGCGGATATCAACATTACCAGATCCAGAGGAATTTAGTGACAGTGGGGAAGATAGTAATGCAATTGTACGGAGACAACGATACTTGAGTCAATTGTTGCAGCACTTCTGGACGAGATGGAACAAGGAGTACTTAGCTGATCTACGGGAATTTCATTGAAATATTACATATACCAACAATACGGTTCGGGAAGTAGAAGTTGGGGAAGTAGTTCTTGTGCAAGGAGAAGGTCTACCTAGGAGTCAATGGAAGATTGATAGAGTTGAAGCTTTGCTTAAAAGTAAAGACGGTGAAGTACGAGGTGTAAAGTTACGAGCGGTGAATAAGAAAGGGAAACCAATCGTATTACGACGTCCAATTCAAAAACTTGTGCCATTAGAGATCAAGGAAGAAAGAAAAAACGAGGACAGTAAGGAGTCAAAACAAGATGCAGACATTCAGAACGAAGAAAAACCAACAAGACAAAGGAGAATAGCGGCAATACACACAGACTTGAAAAGACAGTCCATGATTGACCAGTTGTGACTGGTCAAGGGGGGAGTGTGAGATATTGTTTATTAATAGACATTTATAAATAGGACATTACGTACGCGTCATAGGGGCGTGGACTATAAGACAATAGGTTGTTGTTTTGGGGATTTTACGTTGAAGAATCGAACTAATGAACTAGAGTCTAGATTCGAATTGATATTATGAGAAAGTCTTACTACAGAATATAATACATCTAATTGAGCAGTCTAAAATATATTACAGATCGTGTATACAAACTGTGGGTCGAATTTTGCAGCTAGCAAACGGCATACCAAATCTTTTGATTAACGATATGTTGCATTTACAGAATGTGATGTTTTTTGCTGTTGTTTTCTTTCTGCATCCCACTCGATTCAATTAACTTTTTAAAATGTTAAAGGTTTTCGTATCGCATATATTCGCCTCTATTTGTATCCATAGATCATATTATAAGACATAAAGTATGCATGGAATTGCAGTTACAGTCAAAACAGATGATATATTACCACCGCTGATTGGCTAGAACTAGAAGCAAAGAAAGTCCACTAACTAACGTATCTACTGATTGGCTAAAGGTCACTAACTTACACACACTGTAGCATAGTATCTGCATTTGCAGATACAAAAATGCCATTGTTTTGTCACTGTACAAAAAGGACAATGAAACAGAGAAAAGTAACTACAGACCCATATTCTTGCTCTGTGTGCCCGGCAAACTCATGGAGACGTGTGTGTCCCAAATCATCACCACCCACCTCGTAGAACATGAGCTCAGCCACACTCATCAATGGGCATACAAAAAAGGTCATTCGACAGAGTTATTCTTGGTGAAAATGACTGAAGATTGGAGATAGGCATTACATGACATGGACTTTCAAAAGGCTTTCGATTCGATCTCTCACCCAATCTTGCTGAGGAAACTCAAAGAACAAGGTGTATCGGACAATCTCTGGTTGGGAACAAAGAACTATCTGACAAATTGCCATCAAGCGACTGTGATCAATGGTCATGTATCGGAAGTCAATGCCTGTTAAGTTTGGTGTACCCCAAGGATCTTTGCTCGGTCCGATTCTCTTCTCGTTATTTTGTAATGATTTGCCAGATATTGATGACCAGATGTTTGGGGCTGCAAATTGATTGTAATCTGGAGTGGAGCAGTCATGTCTCGGACTTAATTCTGTCCTTTAGTCAAAAACTCAATCTACTGAAATCATTGTACTTCTTGCCAATTAATGCAAAGCTAGATTTTTACTTCAAAGTTGTGTTACCTTCAATCACATACGGAAATTTTGATATGGGGTTCATGTGGAAAGACTTTTTATATGAGTTGGAACGAATACATGTCCAATCAGCAAAAGTTATCTTTGGCCTGGATTGGTACACCTCAGGAAAAGATGTTCTTGCAAAAGTGAAGTGGTTTACTCTGAACAGTAAGTTTAAACAACCTTTATGCTTACTTTATAAAAACTATTATAATTTGGTTCGTGCAACACTGCAGTCTCTATTCATAAAAACTGGCCATCACTATGAACTTAGAAATATAATGACTTATGTACAACCGAAACCTAACACTGACTATCTATCATATCTTACCAGGCTGTCACTCCTGCAATTTGCTAGATAAAGAACTTAAATCAACTGAATCTCTCGCTAAATTCAAAAAGTTTGTCAAGGTGTTGCAATTATAGACAGTAATAATTAAGATATGGCTAGCTAATTTATTGCTAAATTAATCAAATCCTGTCGTAACATAGCCTTATATCTTACATCATAGCCGGTTAATCTCGCTAAGAGCACTTCTACTCGCATGTCAAAAGTATTTCGTAGTTATTTCCTAAACAGTTTATGTTTTGGTATTACTGACTGAAAATTAGATGGTCATATATAATATAACAATTGTGCTATAATGTGATGTCATAGGTTTAAGTAGCTAATTTGTTTGGATTGTGTAAAATAGTATCTCAGTTATGTGACATGTAATTTGTTGTTCTGTTAGATCACTTACAGTTGGATTACACTTATGTTTATATTTATATATTGTAGTTAGTTTCACATGCATGACCACATCAGCTATGCTGTAAATTGACCATTGTGTTTAAATAAATGCTTTTATTATTATTAGTATTATTATTATTATTATTATTATTTGAGCTTCCATCATTTAATGAGCCATCTGGCAATGGTCATAAGGAGAGGCTTGACAAGGTTAAAGTGTCAAGATGTGGAGACCCAGGTGTAGTCGTTGCTAACTGGGTATCCTTACTGCAAAAGGGACAGCTCACTGCCAGAGCAAAGTTTCACAGGGAACCTGTGGCACTTCCACCCCCCTTAACACAAGAGACACCAGGCAACTGAAACAATATCTTTATTACAGAGTGAACTTACATTACTTTTTTACTTGCAGTAACCACTGTTTTGTTCCATAGCCCTTTCTTAGTGATATTAATTGTCAAAATACAACCCAATCATTCGATAAGTTGTGCAGATACAAATCTTTAACTGTAACATCAAGAAATGGGTCATTGAGAACTGGGTGAACATATCTTGTCAGTTATTTTGCCACATAGCCCACCTTATAATCTCCTGATGACATTACATTCACAGCAATTGCATTTCGGTCAACAATATTTTCTGGTTCAGCCTCTAGTTTTACAAAAACAGGTCTGTTGTACTCTTCAAGATATGAATACGCTTTATCAAGGGCTCTCTGCAGATCTGAATTGTAAGATGTTCCAAGAACTTTAAATGGTAAACAATGATCGTTGTCAGATAACTGATCTTCAATATGTCCTCCATTTTCATACTCTTTGTCTGAATCAGATGGTTGAAAATTATCTTTGATGTAGGTTACCTTTGATTTGACCAGTTCCCACAAACACTACATAGTTTTCACTGTGAATTTCAATTTGGCATTGGGAGGTACATGTGTATGACCCAGCCTGAATATCTGACATCCTACGTTTTTCAAAAACACCTTTATAAATCTTGCATCCTTTTTGAAACTGTACAATAATGAATTCCATTGTCATACCTGGAAATTTTGGAATTTTCCAAGAAATAGAAGATAACTTGTCAATTTGAATGTCACATTTAAATTCTTGACAATTGATATCATCACCTGAACAAACAAATTAAGTTAGTTATAATAATACTTTGTATTTATATCTGGGGTTAGACAAATTTAGCTTGCATGACAATAAGATATAAATCTTTTTACTTAATTTGTTTAGCTGATGCATTTGAATCCCAATTTTCATGTAAGCTAAATTTGTCTACTGTTTCCACACCACCTAAAATGATGTTATAGACGTCTAATATAACTTTCTGTAACATGGGTCACCACCCATGACGAGCAGACATGTCTTTGTAAGCTCTCAAAACTATGCCTCCAAAACTACAAAATCAGGACTCTGAAAGCCTAACGATCACTTCCATAAGAACATTATGGGAAAAGGAATTCCTGCCTAGCATTCAGGAAGAAATAAAAGGGGAGATTGACGGTATGAAGAGTGAAATAACTTCGCTTACAGCAAAATGTAATGACATTGAAAACTCACAGAAGTTCCTCTCAAGTGAATACAACAGCCTTAAAGGCTCACTACAGGAGACAAAGAAAGACATCTGTGAAGTTTCTAAAACCTTAAAGTCCTTAAACGACAGAGTTGGGATTAGCAGGATCCACATGAAACATAGATTTATATGAAAATAAAGGACCGCATTGTTGTAAAGTTTGTACATAGAGACACGAGGGAAGCATTTTACAAAAATCGCAGCAAGTTAATCGGAAAAAGTCAAAAGACATGCCAAAAATTGCAAGTAATGGCATTCTAAAATCAATTAAAGTTAAACAGCAAATGTACCGCTCACATTGTTTCAGTAACAATGTGAGGAAAGTTGCTCAGTATAAACAATTTGCCAACATATTAAATAAAATTAAAGCTTAGTATTATAACAACCAGTTTGAAAAATATAAAACCAACCTATAAAAGCAACATGGAAGCTTATTGGCAATCTAATCTAGCCGAAAGGCCAGTTATCTCCTTCACGATTAAGAAATGGAAATATATACACTGATAAACATGTTATAGCTAATCAATTTAATCAACAAATGATAGCGATATTACATTTATTAAACAATGTTTCGATGCCACAGCATGCATCATTTTCAAGTTATAGTAATTACATATATTGCGTTGATTTTAATTAAACTGTTTGTGTCACGTTAGCAAATTATTGCGTAAACATGCAAAATTTAAATATATATGTAATAAATTACATAAATTACATTTAAAAGAAAACATAAAACAGATTAAACACATTTCTGTCTTTCATAAATGTATCTAACAGGTACACACACAAAAAAACACAACAAACAAACATACTAAACAAAACAAACATAAAGCCCCATTAATTATGGGACTAAGTATAAAGTTTTGAATGAATCGAGTCCGATTGAGTGTTCAAGGACGGCGATAGTTCCTTAATATACAACATTTCGTATAGTAGACACTCATACTTTCCTTGGCATTTTCGAAGAATTGAAAAGCGACCTTCAATTCTCGATGCATCCTCTTCATGATCTTCCCTCATATGCTTGCCAATTACCAACCGCTTGTGCTCATCAATGCACTGATGTAAGTGCCGACTAGTATAGCCAACATAATCTGCATCGCACAGATCACATTTATATCTGTACACAACGTGTTGTTGATTTACAATTGGTGGTTTCATCTCGTGAACTTTAATTTCTTTGATCTTTCTACTTTTAAATACTGGCTCTAATGCTCTACCAAGAACAACAACGTTTTGTGTACAGATATAAATGTGATCTGTGCGATGCAGATTATGTTGGCTACACTAGTCGGCACTTACATCAGTGCATTGATGAGCACAAGCGGTCGGTAATCGGGAAGCATAGGAGGGAAGATCATGAAGAGGATGCATCAAGAATTGAAGGTTGGTTTTCAATTCTTCGAAAATGCCAAGGAAAGTATGAGTGTCTACTATATGAAATGTTGTATATTAAGAAACTATCGCTGTCCCTGAACACTCAATCGGACTCGATTCGTTCAAAACTTGATACTTAGTCCTATAATTTATGGGTTTTATGTTTGTTTTGTTTAGTATGTTTGTTTGTTGTGTTTTTTGTGTGTGTGTACCTGTTAGATACATTTATGAAAGACAGAAATATGTTTAATCTGTTCTATGTTTTCTTTTAAATGTAATTTATTACATCATATAAATTTTGCATGCTTATGCAATAATTTGCTAACGTGACAGGAACGGTTTAATTAAAATCAACGCAACATATGTAATTACTATAACTTGAAAATGATGCATGCTGTAGTATCGTAATGTCATTTAATAAATGTAATATTGCTATCATTTGTTTTAAAATTATTTTCAAAAAAGTTTTTGATTAAAATTTAATGAACACTTTGTTAATGTCAGCACTAAACAAATTAAATATGTTCCGTACCAGCCCAACAGCATACATACATAATTCACCTGTATCAAGTTTTGTTATGTCAACTGTGACTGAATCTCAAGTATGACAATTATTTCTCTCACTCGATGGAAATAAATCTTCCATCACCATCCCAGATACCATCATTAAAATATCATCATCCATTATAGCTCCAATTTTCACTTCTATTTATAATGAATCGATTAATACTGGTGTTGTCCCAAATGTTTTAAAAATCTCGCATGTTACACCAATTTACAAGAATGGCATAGAAACTGATCCAAACAATTTTCAACCAATATCGATACTATTGCCATTTGCAAAGGTGCTAGAACTCTAAATATAGAACTCTTGAATGCTACCTTACTAAAAACAAAATAATTTTTGACCATCAATTTGGATTTAGAAAAGGGTACTCTCCAGAGCAAGCTATTCTGGAAATTACAGACAGATTAAAGACTTCTCTAAAGCATTTGATACGGTCGATTATAAAATTTTGTTGGCGAACTTATATAAATATGGCGTATGTGGTGGTACCCCTTTAACATGGTTCAGTGATTATTTAAACAATAGACAACAATATGTCAAAATAGGAAACACTGAATCTGATTACTTAATAATGACTTGTGGAGTTCCTCAGGGATCGACTCTTGGGCACTTCTTTTTATACTATACATAAATGATGTGCTGAACTGTTCAAACAAACTTTCATTTCGAATTTTTGCCGATGATTCCAATGTATTTTACTCAAGCACAAGTATTGATGATGTTGAATAAGTCATGAATGAAGAACTATACCATATATTTCAATATTGCGATGCTAATAAATTGTCAGTTAATATAAATAAAACTAATTTTATGGTAATAACCTCTAGTAAGAGACGTGAACGTGAAAATATAACGTATCAGAAACATTAAACAAAAAAAGAAAATTAAATATTTAGGTATATACATTGATAAAAATTTAACCTTGGACCAACAGATTAGCCATGTGAATAATAAACTCGCCAAGAATACTGGAATTATTAATAAACTTCGATACCATGTTGATTTAAAGATGCTGAAGCAACTCTACTTTACTCTCATCTACCCCTATATTAATTATGGCTTGATGAGCTGGGGAAATGCTTATACCTCAAAAATGAAGAAATTGAGATCACGTCAAAATAAATGCATTAGCACCATATTCTTTGCAAGCAAACAAGAGAATGCTACACCGTATTACATCCTATTAGGTATTCTCAAATTAGACAGTGTTTTCAAACTCAAATGAGCTCTATTCACTTATGAAGTTTTAAACAAAAAAACTAAATTGCCTATAATATTTTCTGACACTATTACTCTTGCATCATCACGACACTCATACAATACCAGATTTACAGCGCATTGTAACTTTTCTAGACCAAATTTGCAAACTAACTATGGAACTCTCATTTACTTCATCAAAAATCTGGGAGACCATCGATAATAAAATCAAACAATCTAAATCAATTTCTTTATTTAAGAAAAGATATAGTCAATCTTTGCTCATTTCACAAACACAAGTATAAATAGATCAGTAATTCTTGCTTTTGTGGAGACTTGATTATCTATCTAATTACCTACCATCCTAATTTTAAACTGTTAATTAAACATAGGCAGTGACCAACTCGAAAGCATGCAGCTACTTTGGCCACTGCACACAATCAACACCTTTATATTATTTATTGAACGTTCTCTGACTTAATATTTATATATACGAGCTTTCGGCTATCAGTCTATAACCTTCGACAGGTGTATACAAATATTCTATAAAGGACGCTAAACTTAAGTAGGTGGTGTGAAATATGAGACTATCTATGGTATGTTACAAATGGGTAATATGAATATTTAATTAATTAATGTTTCTTGAGTTCCTTTCTTAAAAGTATTGTGTATTGTGCTGGAAGCGTATTAGAGTTATTATCAGCTTCGTCTGTTAGTGCAGTGTGCCAGGACTCTAAGGTTTTAAGG